TGGGGGCGCAATGGGGAACAATGTCACAATCCTGTGGTGACTGTATGGTGACAGACGGTCACTAGACTGGTGGTGACCATTTCTCAGTGTACGTAAAGAGCAATCACTATGTTGTACACCTGACACAATGTAATACTGTATGTCAATAATACTCAAGTAAAAGGAAATAATTATCAAACAAAAAAGACACAAATAAATAACATCATATAAAAGTATGGACTTTACTAGTGCCTTATGGAAATTAAAAGGATTATAAGAAAACACTATGAGCAATTGTATGCCAACAAATTACATAATCTATGGGCTACAAATTCCTAGAAATAACAAAAATGATCAAAAGTGATACAAGAGCAAATAGAAAATCTCAACAGATCTGTAACAAGCATAGATTGAATTAGTAATCAAAATCTCTGAGGAAGTCCAAAATCAGGTGGCAGATGAAATATCTACCAAACACCTGAAAAAGCATTAGCACTGATGCTACTCAAACTCTTGCAAAAAACAGAAAAGGAGGGAATACTTCTTAACACATTCTATGAGGCCAGAATTACCCTGATATTAAACCCACCCAAAGACACCATAAGGAAACTACAGACCAACATCCCTTGTGAATAGAGGTACAAAAATCCTCCAGAAAGTGCTAGCAAACTCAAGGTGACAACACACTGAGAGGATTATTCGCTGAGACCAGATGAGATATATCTCAAGAATGGAGGGGTGGGTTCAACACAAGAAAATCAATCAGTGTACGATACCATACTAATATGACAAAAGAAGCACACAGGATCATATAAAGAGAGCCAGAAAAAGCATTTTATAAAATTCCGCACGCTTTCATGAGAAAAACACTCAAGCTAGAAATAGAAAGGAACTTGCTTACTGTGATAAGGGGTATTAATGAAGAACCCACAGCTGACATTATACTCTATGAAGAACCCACAGCTGACATTATACTCTATGGTGAAACACTGAGTCAGGCACAAAGCAAGAATTCCCTTTTTGCCATAGCTATCAAACACTGTACTGTTAAGTCCTAGCCTGGTAATTAGGTGAGAAAAAAAATAATAAGCATCCAAACTGGGAAGAAAGAAGTAAAAATATCTCTATTTAAATGACATGATTCCATATATATAGAAAATCCCAATGAATCTACAAAACAACGACTAGAGCTAATAATTGAGCCAGCGTATTTGTAGGGGTACAGGATCAACATATAAAACTCAGTTGTGTTTTACAGAGCACCAATGAACCCACTTCGACAACACAAAATAATTACGAAAGCAATTCCATTTATAATTGCATCCAAAGAATAAAATGCTTTGAAATAAATTTAAGCAAGGAGGAGAAAGGCTGACATATTGAAAACTACAAAAAAGAAAAAAAAATTCTTGCTTACTGAAAGATCTAAAAATGGAAAGATCCTATGTTTGCAAACTAGAAGACTATTGTTAAAATGGTAACGTTCTCCAATGAATCTACAGATACTTTGTAATTCCTATCAATATTCCAATAGCCTTTTTTGCAGAAAAAAAGAACAGAATGGGCAATTCATATGGAATCCAAGGGGCCCTCAAATAATATTAAAAAGCAAAAACAGGGGCACCTGGGGGCTCAGTCAGTTAAGCGTCCAACTTTGGCTCAGGTCATGATCTCATGGTTCATGGGCTTGAGCCCTGCATTGGGCTCTGTGCTGACAGCTCAGACCCTGGAACCTGCTTCGAATTCTGTGTCTCCTCTCTCTGCCCTTCCCCTGCTCACGCTCTGTCTCTCAAAAATAAATTAAAAAAAAAAAAAAAAAGAATTCTTCTAACTCACCAACACAAAAGACAATCCAATTTTAAAATTGGCAAAAAATGTGAATAGATGTTTCTTCAAGGAAGATCCACAAACGTCCTATAAGCACATAAAAGGGTATTCAACATCTATCGGTCATTAAGGAAATGCAGATAAAATGACCGTAAGACACCACTTCGCATCCACTAGAATGGAAAAACCCACAGGCAGTGTAGGCGAGGCTGGGGGAACAGGAAGTTGCATCAACACGGTCTGGCTCCTGGGAGAACAGCTCGGGGTCCCTCAGAAACGTACACAGAGGTGGCATCCACTCCTATAGGCACAGATGTCCACAAACAATGAAAACACGTCCACATAAAAACGTGTACACAGATGTTCATAGTGACATTATTCCTAACAGCTAAAAGGTGGCAACAACTCAAATGTGCATCAAGGGAGGAACAGGTAAATTGTGATGAATGGACCCACAAATTTTCCATAAACAGGACCATTATTCAGCCACAAAATGGAATTAAGCAGCGACACATTCTACACCTTGAATGAACCTCAATAACGTATGCTAATTGCAAGCAGCCGGACGAGAGGTCACATGTGATTCCTTTTACACAAAATATCCTGAAGAGGCAAATCCATAGAGACAGGAAGCCACCCAGTGGTTTCCAGAGAACAGAGAGAAGGTAATGGGGAGAGATTTCTTAATGGATACGGGGTATTCTCCTGCAGTGACAAAAAGGTTCTGAAAGTAGAGAGAGGCGGTGACCGCACAACACCGTGAGCGCACTGTCACTGAGCCGTCTGGCTGAAGTGGCCAACTGTGTATGGGAGCCTCACGGTCAGGCTCACCTCACAGTAGGCAGTGAAACTATAGGCTCCTGCAACCAGGCCCTTCCCTAGAAAGACGTGTTCAAGGGATGCTTGGTCAAGGGCATGCGGTAAACACATTACAGAGTTCCTATGACCAAGAGGGGAGAGAGGGAGAGATTAGGAAATAAAGGAAACGAAACTGCACTGAAAGAAACTAAAGAGAAGGTCTTGAACAGACTAATTAGCAAAAAGCCACAAACGAAGGAGGAAGATTAAAAACAATTCCATTACCTAAGGCCCTGCTACCAACCTAAATATTTTAAAGAACCCCAAATTTAAAAATATTAAACATGAGGGAATTACAAATAAATGATAGTATAGTCATATATACAGAATACAGTCATTGAAATGATATTATAAGAACATTTTAATGACATGGGGTTAATTCTCAGTATACAGTATTAGGTGAAAATGCCAACCTAATACTGCGTAATGTAATGCTAATAAATGCTAATAAAATTGAGGTAATTTATACACAGTACTATCTCAATTATTTCAAAATATATGTTGTGCAGGAGAAAACAATCAAAGGGAATACAGCGATGTCTGCAGTCATTCTCTGTAGGTGGTTACTAATTTATGTTTTTGTATTTTCCCCAAATCTCTCACAATTGTACATACTTCTTTTGTAATTTAAAAAATGTTTTTAATAGAACAGATTCATGCCCACAGGGCTGTTGTTAGAATTGAATGAGACAATTCTAGTAAAAGTGTTTTGGCTAGTATTTGGCTCATATTTAGTGGTGTATAAATATTAGTTATTACTGGATAGTTCACCTCTTATCAACTGCAATAACTGATTAAGAACTAATTCAGACTTGCTGATAAATTGAGGTAGACAGAGAAAAGGATAAAGGCGATAAACTGCCACAGGAATGATTTTGAAGTAGGATACTGCACACTAACTGAAAAAAAATCCACAAAACTGAGAACCAGACTTTCTAAAGCTTTTGGAATACACTGCCAATGAGTCTTTAAATAAGATAACTGAGGCACACATTATTCATTGCAACCTAACTTTATATTAAATAAAATATCACTCAGCTATCAAAAAGAATGAAACATTGCCATCTGCAATGATGTGGATGGAGCTAGAATGTATTACGCTATGTAAAATCAGCCAATCAGAGAAAGACAAATACCATGTGATTTCACTCATATGTGGAATATAAGAAACAAAACAGATGAACATATGGGAAAGGGCGGAAGGAGAGAGGGAAACAAACTACAAGAGACTCTTTTTTTTTTTTAATGTTTTTTATTTATTTCTAGGAGAGAGAGAGAGAGAGAGACAGCATGAGCAGGGGAGGGTCAGAGAGAGAAGGAGTCACAGACTGAAACGGGCTCCAGGCTCTGAGCTGGCAGTCAGCACAGAGCCCGACGCGGGGCTCAAACCCACGAACTGCGAGATCATGACCCAAGCGAAAGTCGGATGCTCAACCGACTAAGCCACCCAGGTGCCCCCAAACTACAAGAGACTCTTAATGAAAGAGAACACACTGAGGGTTGACGGAGGGAGGTGGGTGCGGGACGGGCTGGGTGGAGGATGGGCATTCACTGGTTGGGATGAGCACTGGGTGTTGTATGTAAGTGATGAATCACTGAGTTCCACTTCTGAAACCAATACTGCACTGTACTGTTAACTAAAATTTAAATTAAAAAATACATACATCATGAAAAAGTTGGAGCTATTCCAGGAATTCAAGGACAACTTAACGTTAGCAAATCTATCAACATAACTTATTTCATTAACCAATTAGAATAAAAAAATAGATTCTAAAAACTTCTAAAATAGATTCTAACAATCACTTCATAAACCCCAAAAGTCAAAAACCAAAGTATAATGAGAACGGAAGAAAATTTCCAAAGTATGAAAGCATATCTATCATACACCAAGAGCAAATACCACATTAAGTAGAAATATTAACTGCATTTCAGATAAAGTAAGAGCAAGATATTACTACAGTTAACATGGCTTGGAGGGTTAATCAATGCAGTAAGAATATAAATCATATCAATAATACAAGAGAGACAAAATTATATTCACTGAAGATGACTCAATGGATCATCTATAAAAGCAATCACAACTTACCATTACCAGTCCATTAAGGTGACTAAATACAAAATAAGTATATAATTCAATAGCTTTAATTTACACTAGTAATTAATAGTTTGAGATTCAAATGAAAAGAAAAAACTCCACTTACTACAATGATTCCTAATTACAAAATTCCTAGCAATAAAGTTAACAAGAACATACTTCTATAAATAGGATATAAAATGTTACTTAAGTATGAATATCTGAAGAAATAGAGAAATACTTTGTTCAGTGTAATACTTACCTGTGAAATAGACTCTCTTTCTTTAGTTGACAGGAAGTCTTCAACTGGTAATAGTGTTAATGCTCTTTCTAAAATTCTTCTGACTGTTGTCTTTCCTCCGCCTGTTGGGCCTACTAACATCACACCAACACAAGTCTAAAACAAAATTGCAGATTTATGATTTAATTTCGGTTTACCAATAATTCACCTCAACTGAAATCTGAAGCTTCTTATTTACACACACCTCTGTGTCCACAACCCTTCCTTTAAATTATTGTTCAATCTGCTGTAATCTGTGTTCTGCTTTCATTGACTAGGTTGATATCAAAATGTACAGAAATTTCCTAATTTTAAAATTCAAAGAATAACTTTTAATTCTTTTTTTGACACTTTATCTCACTTTCCTTTCTCCTTTAAAAACTCTGTACCTTTCTCTAAGATTGTTTCTGTAATGTGATTTATCTCAGCTTTCCTCTTCTGTGGTTCTTCTCTCTTTTGAATGCCATTTCCATGTTAGTCTTCCCTAATTCATCCCTTTCTCTCTTTTTCTCCCTATCCTATCTCATCCACTTGAACATCTCTAACTACAACATGAGTTCTAATGACTTCCTAACATATGCATTTCTTCCAGTCTTTGGTTCTGTGTGCCTGAGTGAAATTTCAGTAGTCTACTATATATTTCCATCTGGATAGCTCATATGATTTTCAGAGTCAACATAATCTACTCTATACCTTCTTTTCACACTTGTCACTTCTCTTATTCCTTTGATCTTAAACTTTCCAGCCTCCAGAACTGTGGGAAATAAATGTTGCTTAAACCACTCAGTCTACGGGTATTTTGTTATATCAGCCTGGACGGACTAAGACAAGGGGAAAAGGGTCAGATGGTCAAGCTCTTACAAGTGTCCCTTACCCTCTTCTAGACTACTGTGATAGTCTTAAAGGAATGATTATATTTAATAACGCATCACATAAATACATTAAAATTCAAATATGGATAAACCTAAAACAGTTTTTTCACTTCCATTCCAATTTCTTTATCCTCAGTGAGGAAAATTCCAGAGAATTTAAAGATGCGAAATGCAAATATCAAAAACTTTTAGAAAAAAACTATAGAAAATATCTTTCTGAAATAGGATAGAAAAGATTTCTAAAAATTCAGAAAAACACAAACCATAAAAAACAATAGATTTTATACTGCATTAACAATGTCTCCTGCACAACTGAACTCTAGGGAACATTTCTGAAAACCCAAGACTTGGAGAATTTATTTGCATTGCATGTAAACAATAAAGGGATAGGATATAAAAATGCATAATGAAAAGTCTACACATTTAGTAAGAAAAAGACAAAAAATTCAACTGAGAAATGAGTACATCATCTGGCAATTCACAGGAAACTCAAATGGCAAATAAATATAGACAAGGGCATTCAATTTTACTAGTAATCAGTGAAGTGCATCACCTCGTCAAATGGCTCATTCATAGCAATAGGAAATTCAAAAAAGGTATAGTTATGAAAGGCAGAAATTTATACCACGCTTGTAGGGTTTTTTTTACAATTATGTATTAAGGGGATGAGGGTGAAGAAAATGAATCTGTTCAAAGTTACATCCAGGGTTGAATAACCACATGTGGGCAAATAAACGAGTAAGCTACTTTGACTCTAAAGAACAGTAGACCAGTTAGTTCTCTTTTACTGTTATCCTGGTTTTCTCCTTGATCAGACCTATTAAAATTCAGGAGCAAAGAGGTGCTAATATGCCATTCTCCACTTACCTGAAGTTGATTATAAAACTGTATGATTTTCTTGTTCTGAGCTGGCCACTGGTGGAAGCCCAACTGTTGTGCTGCAACAGATATTACTTTCTAAAAGAAAATAAATACGCTTAAACTGCATTGCAATTGAACCCTTAATACATAATCCCTCAAAATCTCTCTTAACTAGGTACTGAATAGTAGTTCTTAATCTTTTAGTTCATCAACCTGATTATTACTTTCTTCTCAAAATATGATATACACAAAATTTTGTGTTCACAGATCCCTGGTAGCAGATTCACAGACCTTCCCCCAATTTAAGAATTTATTCTTTAAGATGCATTTAAAAACCATCTGTTACCATAGTATGGTTGTCTAATTATCTTATACTAAAAGAAAATTTAAGAAAGTCTCTATCTTTGTGTAATTCCAATCACCATTAAGGTAGATTTTCAGCTTTGTAACAATTATTTTAATGTTTCTGTGTTCAGAATATTCTAGGATAGTAAGTAAAATTTGTTAAGATTGAAGACTTGCTGTGGTTATGCATTAAAGCATTCAGGAAGTGGCTGAGGCTTGGAAAGATACTGAATATTTTAACACAGGAATTATAAGGGTGGCCAGGTTTCCTTCTACAGTGGGGCCAAGACTACTGGTATCTGTCTACAGAAAAAAGTGGGATTTATCCTTTTTCTCACTGACCTCTCCCCATCCATTTCTCATTCCTTGCGTTCCCACAGTGGGACAAAGGGGCAGCCAAAGGAGACCCAGAACACTCAGCAGGAGAAAAAGTAGTTCCTACAGCAAGGCCCCTGGAGGTGGGAAGTCAGCTGAGAGCAATGTTGTTCAAGCAGAGTTGATGAGACACCCACTTAAGGCGTGTACTTGGAGTGGTTTTAGATGCAGGGGCCAGGTGTCCTCTGCCATGGATGACACAAACCCAGACACCTCCCTGGATGTGAGCATGTAGTCCTGCTGGGGTAGATGGGGAAGAGCATGGGGTGCAGGAGAAGTGGGAGCATGGGGCGCAGGAGATCAGGAGAAGTGGGAGAGTCAAGGAAGAGATATTCAGACAGGGCATCCCAGTTGGTTAAAGATTTTCACAGAAGGTTTTAAACTAAAATCATAATCATACTGTAAAGTGTTTATGGCTGTAAGTGATGTTCCAGAGTCAACTGGATGACAAACGATACATAGTTTATTCTAGGATATGGTTTCAGTAATTCTCTGTTAATCCCTTGGTTGCTCTGAGCTAATGAGCCTCCCCCACTCACACTGTAGAACCATCAGAGACAGATATGTGAACAAGTTGGATAGATTCCAATCAAACACTGCATGCAATTCAGATTCCTGTATCTCAAATGAACAGGAAGTGTAAACGGCACACCTACAGGGAATATGTCTTGCAGTTTGAGGCCACCAAAGCTCTGGCAAATGCCAGGCCTGGCCCGACTAAAGCCCAAGGGGGCCCCAGACTACCTCACTAACAACACAGGGATGGGCCTTGCTCACAATAGGCAGAGGTAGACACTACAGACTGGACTGAAGGCAAAAGCAGCTGCTCCACAAGAGCATGGCACATGCATCACACACAGGAGATGCTCCTGAAATGCCAAGTTCTAGTGACTAGGACAGAGGGCACCATATGACTCCTTCTTCGTAAGATCACTGCTTTCAAGAGCAAGAGATGTTGATGACTTTCCTAATACATAGAAACAGACACAGAGAGTTAGACAAAATGAGAAGACAGAGGAGTATGTTCTAAATGAAGAGACAGGACAAAAATCACATCAAGAGACCTTAAGTAATATGCCTGATGGAGGATTTAAAGTAATGGTCATTAGATACTCACTGGACTTGAGAAAAGAGTGGGGAACCTCAGTGAGACCCTCACAAAGAGAAAACAAGAAAAGGTCCTGTCAGAGATGAAGAACTCAATAACTGACATTTAAAGTACACAAGAGGGAATCAACAGCAGACTAGAGGAAGCAGAAGAATGGATCAGCAACTTGGAGGACAGAGTAATGGAGAGCAATCAAGCTGAAGAGAGAGAAAAGAGAGAATAATAAAGACTGAGAACAGGTTAAGAGAATTCAGAGACACCATCAAGTGTAATAATCTTTGCATTATAGGGATCCAAAAAGGAGAAGAGAGAAAAAAGGGGGCAGAACATTTATTTGAAGAAATAATCACTGAAAACTTCCCATATCTGGGGAAAGAAATGGAAATCTAGATCTAGGAAGCACACAGAAAGCCCCCAACAAATTCAACCCAAGGAGGTCCACAAAAAGACACGTAGTAATTAAGATGGCAAAAAGTGGTGATAAAGAGAGAATTTTAAAAGCAGCAAGAGAAAAGAAAACAGTCACCTACAAGAGAAACCTCATAAGGCTATCAGCTGATTTTTCAGTAGAAACTCTGTAGGCCAGAGGGAGCAGCATGGTATATTCAAAGTGCTGAAAGGAAAATCTTTGCCAAGAATACTCTATCCAGCAAGGCTGTCCTTCAGAACAGAAGCAGAGATAGTTTCCCAGACAAACAAATTTCAAAGAATTCCTGACCCCCAAACCAGCCCTACAAGAAATGATAAAGGAGATTCTTTGAGTGAAAAGGAAAGATCATAAGCAGAAGTAAGAACAGCAGGAAGCATAGAAGAGGCAAAACTACATGTAGCCATAAAAATAGTCGAAGGATTCACAAAATAAAAGGATATAAAGTATGACACCATGTACCTAAAATGGGAGGGGGCAGGTAAGATTGCAATCAATATATGGAATTGTTGAACTGCTATGCTTACTCCTAAAATTAATACAACACTGCATGTTAACTACAATGGAATTAAAATTTTAAAAATAAATAAAACCAAAAAAACCCCACAAAAAACGCCAGAAGAAACAGTGAACGTGGGGGAGGATGTGGAGGAAAAGGAACCCTCATGAACTGTTGGTGGGAATGCAAATTGGTGCAGCTGCTGTGGGAAACAGTATGGAGGTCCCTCAAAATAAATAAATAAACAAACAAACAAATAAATAAATAAAATTACCGTATGACCCAGTAATTCCACTACTGAGTACTTACCTAAAGTATATGAAAAAAGCAATTTGAAAAAATATATGCACCCCCATGTTTACTGCTTTATTTACAATAGCCAATATATGGAAGCAGCCCAAGTGTCCATTGATAGGCCAATGGATAAACAAGATGTGGTATGTATACACACTGGGATACTACCCAGCCATAAAAAGAATGAAATCTTTGAAATTAGTCAGTCAGGGAAAGACAAATACCATATGATTTCACTCATCTGTGAAATTTAAGAAGAATAAGTCTTAAATAATAAGAACAAGAATATACATATATCACTTATATCTTCAAACTATGTAAGGCTAGCACTTGATAGAAAGGCAGAGAAAAATATATATCAACAATTGTAGTTAAGATCTTAATAGGCCCCTTTCAGAAACAGATATCAAAGGTACAGAACAGTGTACACATGTAACATTATACCCAATGAGCATAGAATACATATTATTTTAAGCACACATGAATCACTTATAAAACAGTATCATTAGGGGATGTCAGAACCCTCAGAAAAGGTTATCTCAAAGGGATAAATACATACAGTAGCATATAGTCCCCAGTCAAAACTAACCATGAATGGAGATTAATAATAAAAGGGTAGTTGAGATTCTCAGAATTTGGCAAAAGACAAAAAACAAAAAAACAAAACCTCTTGGGTGATAAATAATCATAAAGGCAATTAAGAAATATTTATAGAGAAATGCTAACTAAACAACTACATGTGAAAACCTGTGGGAAACAGCCAAAGAATATGTAGAGGAAAACTGAGATCTTTGAGGAGGAAACACAGGTAAATAAACAAAGCATTAAACTCAAGAAACTAGAAAAAAGAAAAGGAGAACAAGTCCAATGAAATAAAGGAATATGTAAATAATGAAGGAAAGAGATCCATCAAATACACACACAAAAGAAATAGGGAAAATAATCAAAACAACAAGCCAGCTCTTTGAAAAAACTAATTATTTGCAGACCTCAAGAAAGAATGATGAGTCATGAGAAAAAGAAATAACTGTAGTGGAGACTGAAGACTGATGAGAGGAGGAGAAATAAGTTAATGAATTTAGAAACACAGAGATGTATAAAAAGTAGGGAATGTGAAGTGATCACTAAGTAACATAAAGTTGAAATAGTAGTCAAAGCCTCCGCCTACAAAACCCAGATCCAAATAGTTCTACAGTGAATTTGACCAAAAATCTAAGGGATAATTCATCTCAATCTTATACATTTTTTTTCAGAAAACAAGAGAACATTTGCTGTTCAGTCTACTTTGAGGAGCTAGTAATAATCTTGACTCTAAGACAGATAAGGATAGTTCGTGTGTAAGTGAACATGTGAAAATCCTAAATAAAACTTTAACTAACTTACTCCATTGGTGTCTTAAGCATCACATGGCGACAGAGCATGGCGCGTCCCGGGAACGCGGAGTGATCTCACCCCGGAAAAGCATCATACAAGGAGATACAAGGACTGGAGGGAGGACGTACCACGGTCAGTATGATGGAAACCCCAAGAGAAGACAAAATCAGAGCTACTTTTGATCGAGTAAGAGAATCCAGTGACGTCGCCATGTTCAAGATAAGCTTCAAATCAAAGGCATTTCAAAACACCTGCAATAAACCACTAGGAATATTATAAAAATGTGTCACCACTTTTGTCAAAAACTCTATAACACCAGAAAATAGCTGATCTTGTGGCTAGGCTGAGCCTCAGTGACAGAGCCTAGGAGGGCGGGAGGGTCGAGGCCAGGAGTCCAGGGACACAAGAAGTTCACCGACGCCTTCCCCGCAGAGTCACAGACATCACTTCTAATTTACAAGGATAAAAAAAAAAGGGGCAGATAATATGGGTGTGTAAACTTGGGCAAAGAGACATGAGCTAATTTTCCTCATTGTTCAGATAATACCCAAATAAATAGGAAATTATGGATCTTATTATGAAAATGTACAAAATTACCCTTACAATAAAAATATTAACCTGCATAAACATCAGTAGAATAAAACAAAAGCAAAAGACCACTTCACTCTGTAGAATTTATAAAGTTTGAAAATTAAAAAAAAAAATAGCCCAGAAGTATACAAGGCAAACAAAACATGGAGTAACAGTCTTACCAAAGTGGACTTCAAGCCAAAAAGCAGGAAGAAATAGCTACTGAATTTCTGGGAAAGAAATGCTTAGGAAAACCCTACCTGCCTGAACTTAAACATACATAACTAGAACAGTGCTTAGATGAAGTTACATGGTTTTATGAACTTACACTAGTAAAAACATAAGCTACATGAGTTAGACAGCTTCCTCAAATAGCTGGACAGGGAAAAACAACACAAAACCCAGAAGAATAAAGGAAGATACTTAAAAATATTAATTTGGATATTGAAAGACTAGAAATCAAATGGATGTATTAAGTAGATAAAAAGCTGTTTTTCTGAAGAAAGCAATTAGATAAACTTCTAGGTAATCTCTGTAATGGAGAAAACCCAAATTAATAAAACAAGAAATGACCAGGAAAATAACATCAGAAATTGGAAACTGAAAGAATATTAAAGTAGTGGCTGGCTCAGATCCACGCGGTACATTTGAACACTGGAATGAAAAGAGAATGTTATCTAGCTTAATGAAACTGACCCAGGAGGGATATGAAATCTAACTAGACCAGAACTGTGAAAGAACTCTCCTGTCATGAAACTCCTGGTCCACATGGTTTTCAAGGAAAATTCTCCCAAACCTTCCTACATAACCTAATGAATGATCTTCCTTCACTAAGTGCTTCCTGTTGGACTACAAATCATACATATTCTGTGCCTGTTGGGTATGAAGCTGCATACATAGCTTATACCTGTATTTAAGGAACAGACAATTATGAAAGTGTTTCAACTACAAGCTACTGAAGCCATGTATTCTAAAATAAACTTTAAACAGTGTTTTTACAAATTAGGCAGGGTCCCAGGGAAAGGAATCTGTGGGTGTGATGGCCTGATACCTGATAGAGGCCAGGGGGAGTCAGAGAACTGGGAGAATCTGGGGCGGGAAGAAGGCAGAAGGAGAAAGGATGGGAGGCGCTGGAGAGATGACCCGGTCTGGCCAGGCTGTGAAAGGCATCGTAAGAATATACGTTGGGGTAATTGGTTTTGGGTTTCGCCCAACAGTGGCTTTGTTGATGTGATCAAACGCATGTTTCTGGAAAGCACTGCTAAGGGACCACCGGTCCCAGATGAAGCCAGGGGGTGGCCGGAGGCTGGCTCCCACCATGAGACCTGTCAAGGTCCCAACCACACTAAGGCAATGACTCTAAGGCAGGTGTAAGAGGGAAAACAAGAGGGTTCTCCAATCATAATGCCTAATTTTTTACCATCACAAAATATTTACATGTTAAAGTCTTTTTTTCCATAATTCTGATCCAGGTTGATTCTTAAAGCGCCCCTTTAAAGGAGGAAGAGAAAAACATTACCACTCCCAGAAAGGTGGGAAAACCAGGGAACAAAATATGGGGAACCTTCTTCACTTGAAGCTATGTTCTGTTCTTCATCGAGGCCATTTTTCTCCCAAGGGGAAAATACACGTGCAAGTATTTTCATCCCCCAAGTTATAACACGAATAGACTATTTCAGGAAAAATTATAGTATTTTTCACTTATATCATGTTTTTTTTACCGTAATTAATATTCCTCATCGAAATCATCTGTGATGGTTTTCAAAATTCTTATTACCTCGAAGGCAACTTGATTTACTGTCGAAACCACTGCTCCAGGAAAAATGTCTGCTATAATCTTTTCAAAAAGTGGGACGTCTTGCGGGAGAAATTTTGGTAAACTAGCTTCTCGTATAGCCTCAATAAGGATCAGACTTTCATCCATTTCAGAAAGGTTGCCATTAGTGTTACTTTCGTGGAAGAAGAAAAGACATGTAAAGAACAGGTTAGCAGGTGCGCTCTGCTGACATTCAAGGCCATTCACGTTCTTTTTCAGAGATGGGCATCCCCATCTCCTTTCCTCCTCCCCCTCCCTGCAAAGCAGCCATGTGGTATGGGTGAGGTTAATCTGGCCCCCAGATCCAGAATGGTCTCGAACGCTCAGGATAATGCCATTCCCCAGTCACTGATTCAGAGATGGGCTTTGTATCAATAAGGTGTTTTAGCTGCAAACAGAAATGAATTTGGGCTAATATGAAATGAAAGTAACGTAAGGATCTATGAAAAATCTCTAGGCGGGCCAGAGAGGTCAGCTCGCAGGCTATGTGGCTGCAAACAATGGCCAAGACTGTGCTACAGATCCGGTCCTGTGAAGACCTGATGGCTAACGTAATGGGTCCAGTGGCCATGCGTGAGAATGCCACTCATGCTGGTGACCAGGACAGTTGGCCGCCCCTGCCGCTCCTGCTCACTGGCTGTCACCTTGCTTGAATGCCCTCTGTGCAGATCCAATTTCTTTCCCCACTAGCTTCAGGCTCAGACTGTAGTCTAACTGTCTCTGATTTGTCCAGGCTGTATGTTCAAGCCATGGGTATAAGGCGGTTTTGAAAGGCAAGAATGGGGCCTAATGAATATTCCTTAAAGGAAGATGATCCCAGCTCTGGTCAATGGCAGTCACGAGGACACAGGAGTTCCAATGACCTGTGTGTTCAGCGTGGTTCGGGACTCCCGTTCAGTGGGGCGGAAAGCTCCGGGGAGCCTTACAAACCACCAGAGAGGCGGCCAACCAAGCCGGGACGGGCAGGGCCGCGGTGCGGACCACACTGCAGAGAAATAAAACTGAAACCCGCATCCGAGGAGCAGACCCTGCCCATCTCCGGATTTTCTGATTGAGAGAAATAGTAAATTCCCTCTACTGTTTGAACCAACTTAAGTGTTCTGTTACTTGTCACAAAGGGCTCCAGATGTGAAAGTTGTCATGTAAAATATCGTCCCCTAACAACATTTTACATGTTTAACCCTTTATTACATATTCTTACACATTAAACAGGCAACCGAGAGAAAGAACTGATAGCTAACAGCTAACATTTATTAAGTACTTTTTCTGGGCACTTAGCTTGTTTTTTTTTTTTTTTTTTAAGCTTTATTTTATTATTTAAAAACATTTTTAAAATTTATTTCTGAGAGAGAGAGAGAGAGAGACAGCATGAGCAGGGGAGGGTCAGAGAGAGAGGGAGATGCAGAATCTGAAGCAGGCTCCAGGCTCTGAGCTAGCCGTCAGCAGGAGCCCAATGTAGGGCTCGAACCCACAAACCGTGAGATCATGACCTGAGCCGAAGTCGGACACGTAACCGACTAAGCCAGCCAGGCACCCCTAAAATAAAAGTTTTTTTTTTTGTTTTTTTTTTTAAAGAACAGTTTCTTTTGGGGGAAAAGTAACAGGGTTTTGTGCATCCTTCCTTCCTCTTCTTTCACATTCTTCAACACCTCTACCATATTTTATCTCTACTTAGATGCGCTCTGAAAGTTCCCTGCTTTATCCTGCCCTTACTACTTAGATTTTACAAATTACTGTCCCTGTGTCGTATAACTCTCTTTGACCTAACACTCAATCAAACTCAACTCACCACTTTAACTCCCATTTCTTTTTTCCAGCCAGTGTTAAAATGGTCTTCAGAGACCTCAAGCCAAAATCATAATGAACCTATAAAGCATTAAAATATTTGAGTTACATTTCTCAGGGAAAAAAATGGAAATAAATGTGTATCCTCCACAGATAAATCCCTAGTCATGTATGCTGTGGAGACAGACCATGATAGATCTTGAGAGAGAGAGAGAGAGAGAGAGAGAGAAAGAGAGACAGAGAGAGACAGAGAGTGCACAGGAGGAGGGGCAGAGAGAGAGGGAGACAGAGAACCCCACTCAGGCCCCGTGCTGTCAGCACAGAGCCTGATGTAGGACTCCATCTCATGAATTGTGAGATCGTGACCCGAGATGAAATCGAGAGTTGGACCCTCAACCGACTGAGCCCCCCAGGAATCCCCCCTAAGCTTCCCTCTAAAAAGCAGGCTCGCTGTCCAAACCACGTTGGGTTACAGACAAACACCCTTTGCTCTGGCATAACCCAGACCAGTCATTTTCAGAACACGGCACCCAGACCAGCAGCTTCGGGAGCCCTTGAGAAGCTTGTTGGGAGCACAGATCCTCAAGCGCCGCCCCGGACAATCGAGGCTGGCGGTGAAGCGCGGTGACTGGTGTTTTAGCCGGTCCTCCCCACTATTTCGAAGCACAAGGAGGTGTGAGAATCAGTGCTGTGGATGCTCACTGCCTTCTATGGAGAAGGCGGTCTGTCATTTAAAATAGCAGACCCTTCACGATCGTCTTCAGGTCCCAGAGGGAAGGACTAGAGCCCTGCCTGATTTCACGCATCACCTCACATCCGCGCTGGTTCATGAACTTGATGTGCTAACGGGATTGTAGCTCCATTACTTCCCCAGGTCATCCCTGCGCCAATACCACAGGATCTCATTTCAAGATTTATACGATTACTTTTATTTTGGGGAAAGCAGTTTGTTACCTGTTGTGAGAGTTGTTTGTGAGCTAAGTTGTAAATGTTGACCAGCTTCCTAGAGAGGGACTTCGCCGATTTGAAACCGACTGAAAACAGCATTGTTTCAGTAATCATTTGATAATGCGGAGCCACCATCGCCACTGGGCGGAACAGAGATTTTAAGTTATCTGGGAGTTCTACTCGCCCTTTGTACCTTAGGGGGTAAGAAAAACAGAGAAACAAGAAAGCCACTTTTCAGTTTTTCTAATGAGGAACTACATGATACATTTCCCCCCCAAATAATCCGGTTAGCTTCTACATGACCCCCATTTTTTTTTAACTTTTTAATGTTTATTTTTGAGTGACACAGAGAGAGACAGAGAGAGAGAGAGAATGCATGCGCAGGGGAGGGGCAGAGAGAGAGGGAGACACAGAATCGGAAGCATGCTCCAGGCTCCGAGCTGTCTGCACAGAGTCCGACATGGGGCTTGAATCCACGAACTGTGAGATCATGACCTGAGCTGAAGTCAGATGCTTAACTGACTGAGCCCCCCAGGCGCCCCCTGTGACCTTTATCCGAAGACAAGTTTGCAAGACAGTTTCCACTATACTTTTCATCTCAAGAGCTTCTGTCTTTACCATCTTTTCTTCCTGTGCCTCCTCCCCTGTGCCCCCACATGCCCTCAGCAGAGGGGACCATCCACATTCCCTCTGCCCGCCCAGCCTCTGCTCCTTATAACCACCATATTCCATTCCCTCTGGTACTCTCTCTCTGTCTCTCTCTTTTTTTTTTTTGGTCTTTTTTGTGACAAACTGCCACCTTTTCCTTTCCCCCTGGCTGTTCATGAAGTGAAAAAGTCCCTCAGTCAGAAACATGCATGTGGATAAGTACGGAGCCGGAGCCGTTTAGAAATGTGCGGGTAGAGAGTGTTGTGTTGGCGAGTGAACGGCGGGTTACAAGGTCAGACAACTGCACCCCGGCTGTGATGTGAGAGGGGGGCTTTGGCCTGTCTCCACTCCCAGCACATAAACCGGTACTTACTCGGGATTCATGGTGACAAATATAGCACAAGACATATTGATACGGATTTCTTTTCCTTCCAGTACAAACCTAGAAGACATGGGAAGGGGTTCAAAATGAGCTGGCCCCCCACCCCCCACAATGTGCCACTTTGGTATATGAATTATTTGTAGCTGAAGACAATGAAGGCCCAAAAAACTCAGAAGGCACTTTTAACCTCCCCCCTAACTGTTTCTACAAATGTAGACAGAGGGCCTGGTCCAGAAAGAGAGCGGCTGCCGGAGACAGCTCCGGAGGGCTTGGGCTGCGCGTGCGAGCTGTGGGGGGCTCAGCAGAACCTGCTCCTCCCTCTTCCTCCATGGCCCGTGGTCTCTGCAAGACCTGACAGCCGTCTGTTCCCCAAACACCTGCTCTCCCCGTGAGTTCTCTTCCTTCCCTCTGAAGACTCACACCCCTTCCCCCTTCTCCTTAGCTCGGACGGCACACAAACCTTAACTGCCTGCCTCTCCTTGAACCTCTCAGTCTGTGTGAGGCTCCCCTAAGTATGAAATTAAATTTTCTCCTGTTAATTTATCTTATGTCAGCCACAAGAACCTAAAAGGGTAAAGGAAAAATGGTCCTCCACTGTACGTTATGATTCCCTACTAAGAGAACGGTTTTCCTTAAGCCCAAGTAGGTTAAACCTGTAAGTGAGCTTGGGAACTTTCCTAAGGCCGTGTTACATTTAAATCCAAATAGCACAGACTGGGGGGAAACAACTGTAAGAGGGGAAAGAGGCTCACTTGAGCCCACGTTGCAAGTCCTGCTGGGGTTCAGATTTATTTGATCGCGTGTGAAGAGTTTTGTGGGGCCTGAAGCTGGCGGGCACCCACCTGAATGAATGGACTTAACAGGGAAAAGGAACCTAGGAGACCCTCAGACAGAAGGTCTTCCTTTGGTGACACTGTGGAGCATAGTGGTCACCGTAGAGAGTTCCTGCATTAGCATGGAACACAGCCCGCCCTCCGCTCCTAATTCAGTAATCTCCAGGACGTCGTGAAGGGGAAGCCTTGGCATGGACATTAGTGCCCTGCTGTCAGGACCAGATGGAGCGATCGTGGAGAGAAATCGTCCAATGATTTTATGGGCATCTAATACCGGGGAGGGTAGTTGAAGCAGGAAAGGAAGAACACTGGAACCCTCCAGTCCCTGAGGGTTCCCTCTCTGTTTTTTAAAAGAAGTATTAGATTGTAATAGACATTTTATTAAATTTATTTAAAAAAAAATTTTTTTTTTACTTCTAAGAGAGAGAGATACAGTGTGAGTGGGGGAGGGTCAGAGAGAGAGGGAGACACAGAATCTGAAGCATCTCCAGGCTCTGAGCTGTCAGCACAGAGCCCGACGTGGGGCTTGAACCCACAAACTGTGAGATCATGACCTGAGCCAAAGCCGGACGCTTAACCAACTGAGACACCTAGATGCCTCTGTAATAGACATTTTAAACCCACAAAATCCAATTATGCCCATAAAGTAAATCACGTATGTTCCTGAATTTACCTGACGAGAAAGATGTTTTTGCTTGGATTAGTAAACATTAGTAATATGAACAAACAGTGTTTTTACAGGATTTTTTCAATACAAATATACTAATGCAGAGTAATGGGCTGAGAGAGGGCTTCAGGTGTGGCCAGTATAATTTTATTTTTTTAAAATGATGTAGAGTTAAAGAAAAATACTTTGGTTTCTTCAAATGAAATAAGTACTACGAGAATTTAAGCCTTGAAGTAAAAGTGATTGGAATACATTTGTGACCTGGTCTGGGGGCTCTGAAGGCCGTCCCAAGGCTGGGCAGGAGCTTGGATACCCCCAGGTTGGCATGAAAGTTACATGTATTTGCATGTTACTTGACAAGCAAAGGAGACATTCAAGATAAATGTCATTCCTTTCGGTCTGTGTTTGAGGGGAAAAACAACCCAAACACTGACTGTAGAACAAATATTTGATAGAAAGTAAGGAAACGCATTCAAGGGTACCTGACCAAATAGCTGTCTTTTGCGGCCTTGATTGTCAGGATCTGCGACGCAATCACAGAGAGGACACGCGCATCAATCCGGTTGAACTCGTCCAAACAGCACCACGCCCCGGACTGGACCAGTCCGAGGAAGAATCTTCCCATGATCTGGAAAACAATTATTACACAGGTGAACGCTCTCCCGGGGCCAGGGCTCAGCGCCCGCGTTCAGCCTTTGACCCTAACAGGTGCCTGGCCTCCCTCCACCAGGCCTTCCCTCGGCAGGTGCTCGACCCCCCAGGGCAGGCCGGTGCTGGGGGTCCTGGGGTGGAGGCCCCACGGCACTGGGGTCCTCACATCCGCAGCCGCGGGGTGAGCGGAGGGCGGGCTGCTGCTGGGTGACGCCCTGAGGGCCTGCGTGGGGCTGGGCCACACTGGAGCGGCTGCCCAGGGCCCTGGCAGGTGCAGGCTTGCGCCCCGGGCTCTTGGCGCTCGCTCCCGGGAGGCTCTCAGTCTGGAACCTACCAATCCGTCAATACTGAGTGCAGAAACCAGGGACAACTCCGTAGGCCCAGCAGAACCTGTGTGGACGAGGACAGGCCAGGAGACGCGCGCGCTGGGGCGCAGGGGCGGGAGCGCGCGCGGGAGCCCCTCCGGGCAGACACGGGGACTGGTTCTCCCCAGTGGCTGCAGGAATCGTGTCGTGTCTTTATTTTATAATTTTGATACTCGGTTTCTCATGGGGCTTGGGGGGGCACTAATTTTGATTCCAAAAAAAGTATGGCATTAAAGTATTATTTATCTTCATCAGCAGGCTTCCCGGGTGCCCCTCGGGTTTTGTGTGGGCAGGTGCCTCAGTTCCGACGCTCCCCGCAGCCCTGCTCACCCCCCGCCCCCCGACTCCGCCGGAAGGAGGCAAGAGACTCTCCTTCCTGAGGGTCTTAATGATATGAGTGCAGTCAGCTTGTTTAGGTTTTATCGATATTTTTGAGGTGCTAAGTGAGCACAGACTGAAAAGGCAGGATCTCACCATAATGGACGTTGAACTGCAAATAAACCGACAGTAATAAAAGGTAACTGGTTTGAACTTAACATCCAAGACAAAATAAACTGGAGTGTTTCAAAACTTCAAATAAATTGGTGAGAGGCACAGAAGTACACGAAGTTTCAACCAATATTTCGGAACGTTATGAGCTCTGTCTTAGGTCATATGCAATCAAAACACGGTGCAAACTCCTGATCATCTGTATCTGCCCCGACTCACGTTCCTGTGTTAACAGCCTCAGGTTCTTAGCGGTTACCTCTTCAGTAAATAAAGGTATAAGGTTAGAACTTATAAATTTACATTAACAAAGCGGAACTCTTAATTTCTTAATATATTCACAGCCCAGAATGGATTTTGTTTGGAAAGATTCCCCCATCAAAAAGTTTGAAACCCACTGTCTTAAATAGTTCAACTGCATAATGTTTTAAGTCTCAATTACATTAATTTAAAAGAATTAATAGCATTTGCAGGTAATACTTAATGTCTCTTCAAGAGAAATATTTCCTTGTTCTTTCAATTCTCAATGAACTATTTATGTGTATGATTTTTTTCTGCATATATATGAATAGACTTTACCTTATAATCCAAATCCTCAAAACAGTTGAACACCACACAATGTTTGCCTACAGCCTGAGAAACAAAAACAGTATTTTAGTATATTTCTCGACTTCTGACACAAAATACTAATGTTAAAACTTCTAGAGTAATAAAATGTCTTTACTCTTCTGAGAAAACATTGCAATATAAGCATGAATTACCTACCAAATTTAGAAATGCACAAAACTTAGTCGAGTCTGAATGCACACACGCCATTTGTTAAGTTGATGAGTACATGGAACGCTACAGCCATGTTTTTAAAACACACCAACAAGTAACTAAGAAAAAAAGCATTCCAGGGAAGTGAAATGCCCCGTGCATTCATTCATCGGTTACTTCTCTATCTCTGATCTGTCTCTGTCACACACACATCACACACACACACACACAAACAGCTATTAGTCACAAAGACTAGGTAAAAGTGTGTGTGTGGGGGGCTCAAGAAAATGGATCACCCTTAAACGAAGGGGGACAAGACCTCCGTTCATGCATCAGCTAGCACAGTAGAATTCCTAACATGAAGCTGACTGGGCTCCCAGAGTGGCCAAGTCCCACCGCACTGTGGACATTTGAAAATTAAAGGATGAATTATATGAATTAATGAGCACGGTGAGGTGCCTGTTAAATGTTAGGAACATCTCAAGAGCAGGAACAGTGTATGTTTAGGATACGGTTAAAGTCTGTGTATTTATCCTGGATACAGAAACCGCTTACTTTGGCTAGATCTTTGACACTCTCTGTTTTGCCCGTCCCAGTGGGCCCTGCGGGGCAGCCTCCGAGATTCAGGAGCAGAGCCCCCGTGAGCGTGAGCCAGCACCTGTTGGTCAGGGGCGTAAGGACCAGTCTGGGGGTGCAGCCCAAGTACTCGTAGCCATAGGTGAAGTTGGCATCGCCTTGAGACACGTAGCACAGCTTCTGTTTCTCGCTCCAGTGATACTGCAAATGTCTGAAACGGTATGTTAAATGCTGGTGTTATTTGGGCCAAATTATTTTTAGTGTTTTGCACCTGTAGAAACATAATAGAGACTAAAAATGGGATGTTGACTAAAAAACAAATGCACATTAAAATACAAATGACAAGAGTTACAGGTAACTCAACGACGATGCCAGATAGGAAATAGGAGGACTCAGAACTCTACAAGCTGTGAGCCCTTCTCCTGGCGAGGAAATTGGCCTTGCACGACGCTGCTGCCTGGGGGGATGCGGGCAGCAGTAGCGGAGGACTCCGACGAGAATCAGCCCTATCTAGTTTATTATGGTTTTCAGCAAAAACGTGGCTGAAGACATTGTTCATTATAACCGGGATCCTTATAAGGGTAACGGAGGGAAATGCTATTCATTCTTAGTGTCAAACAGAACTGTTGTATTTATCTTATGACCGATCAATTGTGTGATGACTGTAAATCTTCTCTGTGAGAGGTTCTCAGTAAAACTTGTGACCCATCTGTAGCTCTACAGTACGTGTTCGTTTCCACCTGTTTTTATCAAGACATTGACATACATGTCTGTGTTAGTGTAAGGTGTACACACAACATAGTGATTTGATACCTGTACATAGTGTGAAAGGATCGCAATAAACTTAGGAAGTGTCCCTCCTTCACACGGTTATGAATTTATGTTTCTTCTGAGGACGTCATGTCTTAGCATCGTTCCAACAAAGTGCTGTGAACCACAGGTGCCAGGCCGTAGGCTCCAGCCCCAGAACTTATTTATCTTATCGCTGGAAGCTTGTACTTTGATCTCCTTCCTGTATCATCCACCCCAGCTCCATCCTTGGCCTCTAGCAACCCCCAATCTCTTCTGTGTTTCTATGAATTCAGTGTTTTGGGGTTTCCCATATAAGTGGGGTCACAGATTATCTGACTTATTTTATTTAGCATAATGCCATCAAGGTCCATCCATGTTGTAGCAAATGGAAGGATTTCCTTCATTTTTTATGGCTGTGTGATGTTCCATTCTATACACGTTCTACATTTCCTTTTAATTTTTTAAATGTTTATTTTTGGGAGAGACAGAGGGCGGGGGAGAGAGAGAGAGAGAGGCAGAGTGATAGACATACAGAATCTGAAGCAGGCTCTAAGTTGTCAGCACAGAGCCCGATGCAGGGCTCAAACTCACAGACAATGAGATCATGACCTGATCCCAAGTTGGTCACTTAACCAACTGAGCCAATCAGGTGCCCCTACATTTTCTTTATCCATTCATCATTTAATGAATGTCTTGGCTTTTATAAATAATGGTACAACGAACATGGGGTACAGGTATCTTTTTGAGATAGTGATTTCATTTCCTTAGGGAAAATGCCCAGACATGGAATGGCTGGATCACATGGTAGTTATATTTTTAATTTTCTGAGAAATCACCACCCATTTCCATAGTAGGTACCCCAATCTACATTTCCACCAACAGTGTATGTGTTTTCCCCACTGCCACACCACAATTTGCTACTTCTGGTCTTTCTAGTAATAGGCATTGTGACAGGTGCTGAGGTGGTATCTCATTGTGGTTTTGATGTGCATTTCCCTGGTGCTGAATGACCTTTCACATACTTGTTGGCCATCTGCATTTCTTCATTAGACTGCATGTCTGTTCAGTTCCTCTGCCCAAATTTTTAGTCAAAAAATTTTGTTCTGCTATTGAGTTGTAGTCCTTTATATATTTTAGATATTAACCTCTTACTAGATAAATGGTTTGCAAATAGTTTCTTTCATTGTGTGGGTTGCCTTTTTAATGTGTTGATGGTTTTCTTTCTTGTGCAGAAGCTTTTGGTTTGACATAGAGCCATTTGTTTCTTTTTGCTTTTGTTTCCTTTACTTTTGGTGTCAAATCAGAAAATTATAGCCAAGACCAATAACAAGGAATTTACTGCCATGTGTGTCTTACATTCAAGTCTTGAATCCATTTCAGTTGGTTTCTGTGAGTACCATGGGGTAGGGATCCAATTTCATTCTCTGCATGTAGCTTTCCAGTTTTCCAAACACCATTTATTCAATAGACTGTCTTTTCCCCACTGTCTATTCTTGGCTCTTTTAGTCAGTTCTTCTTTCTCAAGTCTATTTTGGATATTTGAGGTCTTTTGTGGTTTCATACAAATTTAGGATATTTTTTCTATTTCTGTGAAAACTGTCATTGGAATTCTGAGAAGGTTTGCATTGAATCCATAGATCACTTTGCATTAAATCCACAGATACAAGAGTATGGAAATTTTAACAATATTAATTGTTTTCAATCCTTGATCATGGGTTATCTTTCCATTGATTTGTGTCTTCTTCAATTTCCTTCATTAATGTCAGAAGAGTTTTCAGTGTACAGATGTTTCACCTCCTTGGTTAAATGTATTCCTAAGTATTTTATTCCTTGGGTGCATCTGTAAATGGGATTGTTTCCTGATAGTTTGTGCTAAGTGTATAGAAATGCAACTAATTGTCGTACACTGACTCTGCCACCTGCAGCTTAACTAAATTCCTGTACTAGGCCTATCGGTCTTCTGTGGTGTCTTTAGGGTTACCTACATATAACATGTCACCATGTCACCTGCAAATAGACAATTTTACTTCCTTCCTTTCCAATTTGGATGCATTACACTTCTCTTTCTTGTTTAACTGCTCTGACTAGGACTCCCAGACTGTGCTGAGTAAAATGGGTAGAGTGGCAATCTTGTCTTGGTCCTGATCTTGAAGAAATGGCTTTCAGCTTTTCACTGAGTATGACATTAGCTGTGGGCTCATCACATATGGCTTTTGTGGTGCTGAAGGAAAGGAAAGCTAAATGAAAGTAAAGAGTAATTTGCTATCCTCAGACCCAGCATTTGTTTTACGATTCAAGTACTAAATCGTCATTTAGACAGAACTTTAATTCTCAGAGCTTTACCCCCCATTCCTCCCCTAGAACAGAGGTTCCCAAACTTTCTTGATTTACTGCACCTGTAGTATATCAGTATTTTTTCTTGATTATCATAGATCAAAATAAATTATTTCATAGTTCATTTCATTAGTTTTTAGTTCCAAAGCAACTTAAAAGGTGTTTTTGTCTAAATGACTTGGTAGCTTATTTTAAAAGTATATACAAATAAATTGAAAGGAAATCATTTAAAAATGTTTTAAAAATTAAAAAAAAATTATTTTTAGAGAGAGAGAGAGAAAGAGGGAGAGAGCACAAGTGGAGGAGGGGGCAGAGAGGGCTAGAGGGAGAGAGAGGGAGAGAGAGATTCTCTCTCCCCACTAAGTGTGGAGCCTGAAGCAGGGCTCAATCCCATGACCCTGGGACCATGGCCTAAGCCAAAAGAGTCAGATGCTTAACCAACTGAGTTACCCAGGTGCCTCAAAAGAAAATCACTTTTATTTCACTTTTAAATAATCACAGTTACTTACTAATGGGATGTGTGTATGTGTTGCGCACTGCATAATTTCTCAAACCTTAGAATCGGAGAGTATGCTGCCAATATTGTTTCCTATGCCATGTTAATTTTTGTATAGTGCTTGCCTTTTTCTTTTTAAATTGGGGAAACTGTCCAAAACCTAGCCTTACAAGGGTAAGAAATCACTGACAGGTTGTAGGGTGCTCTAATGTTACATCTGTCAGCTATTTTGAGCTACTAGTTTGCCTGGTGTCTGACAGGTGTTCTGTATCCGTCTGAGTCGTTCAAAAGTTTAACGTTTTTTGCTCATGGTGTCAAGTCCTCTGTGATGCCTTCGGTCACACTGGCATGTAATTTGGGAACTGGGGCCTAGAATCACAGGTGCTCACAGAATTTACTGGAATCACATCTTTTCCACGTTGCTTATCTACATATGCTCTTCCACCCGTCATTCTCACTCTCCAAGAGTTACTAGCAAAGTAACGATGACATACTAAACTCTGGGGTGATGGTTCTTAAAGATGGCCATTTCCTTGGTGATTAAAAATGCATACACTTATATGCTGCAGGAAGATGAACACGTGAGTGTGTGTCAAAGAAGAAGCATTCAGCTAGGACACACTCAAGGGGTGTCAGTCAAACATACCAGCCTGAAAATGCTCCATTTCCCCCAGAGTTTAAAGGAAACTGTCACATCAAAAATGAGGAAAATTATACTAATGTAGGATTTCTTAACAATGAACTTTTCTTGAGAATCAAAGACCCTATGCTTTTCCATGAACAGAGGAGACTTTAGAGAAAAATGAGTTCTGAGGTTTGAAACTTCACATTTCTCATTAGGACCCTTATGCTTGTTCTCTTCTCCCCAAGGCCGGTGCCTGTCTTTCTACTCCAGTGTTTGCACACAAAACACCAGGTGCGGGCGAGTACGTGATACCAGGCTCCTGGTGGGAGGAAGGGGTTCTGAGTTAGAGACCTGACTCGTGCCCCGGAACTGATGGCGCCGGGGGAGTGCGGCCGGAGGCTGTCCCTGCCCACGGAGAACTGCCCTCCCACTGGAGGTCGAGGGAAAATGCAACCTTAGGAGGAAGGAAGCCAGGCCAGGAAGGGGAGGCAGAAGGAGGCGCGAACACGGAGGAAGGCCAGCGGAAAGGAGGGAGCAGCAGAGGCAGGCGGTATCCAAACCGACACGGATCGCTCAGAACTTCTGCGCATCCTGGAAAAGTCAGCCTCAGGGCGGACAAAACCGGAGGCAGAGACTTACTTAAGTCCAGGCAGCCCTGGGACAAGGTGCTTTAGGTGGAGTTGTGGTCGCGGCTGCTTACCTGGTCCACTCAAAGTCGTCGGCGCTGAGGACCCCTTTCAGCAGCAGGCCCCCCACGGTGTCCCTGCAGTGGACGTACAGCGTGAGCAGCGCCCCCAGGACGGCTTTGGTGCGCGCGCCCCCCGCACCCAGCGCCACCAGCTCCGTGATCTCCTCCAGGCGACCCATCAGAGTGGCACGGACTTCCTCCAGCGCTTCTCGTGAACGGGGACTCGCAAAGCTTCTGATGCAGTCGCTAGAAAACATGATCTGGCTCTGACAAGGACATCAAGAGGACAAGCAAAGAGTAAACTTTGTAAGTGAGACCGGTGGTGTGCAAGTGTGCGCAGGTTACACACTCATATGTGTCTGAGTGTTACACACTGAAATTTGGTTAATGCTTGTGGGGGCCCTGAAATATATTAACCATCAATATTTCTACTTTTGAAATCATGTATTCTTATTTATTTCTTTATTTTGAGAGAGAGAGAGAAAGCGTGAGTGGGGAAGGAGCAAAGAGTGGGGGAGACACAGAATTCCAAGCAGGCTCTATACTGCCAGCACAGAGCCCAATGTGGGGCTTGAACTCATGAACTGTGAGATCATGACCTGAGCTGAAGTTGGAAGCTTAACTGACCGAGCCACCCAGGTGCCCTGAAATCTTGTATTCTTAACCATCATCACTAGAATAATAACCTGGGAACAGTAATAATGGTGGAAAACCCCAACATGAAATTAGTACTGTTTCGTCAGTTGAACCCGGAAATATTAGTCTTAGAATATGGCGTCTGCAATCTTCATTTTCAGAAACGGTATAACTTTCGTTACTTGATCCATCTTCAGGCACTCACTCTGCCCATAAATGCCAGAGCTGTTTTAAGACGGCTGCTGGATTAATGTCACATCGGCCCGGAGGTTGGTGGAGGGGATATGTCATGATGCTTGTAGGTTTCTGTCCCATAACTGGATACATCGTGCTTTCGGTCACTAGGACAGTCCTACCGAGGGACAAGTGTGCTGTAGGAGAGGGGGCAGTGAATTCGTTTTGGGATTTAATGAAATGAAGTGAATGAGAAACATGTAAGTAAGGCTATAGAGAGATAAACCCTGGAGTAATTAGCAAAGATAATATGTATGGTGGGGAGCAAGGGGCGGGGGGGATTTTTGCCCAGAGCAAGGTCAGAGGGTAGAGCACAGGACACCTGATGCATCTGTCACTGCTGTTGGCTGACTTTCTTCAAGGACATGGTAGGTCCACAGCAGCGGGTCCACAGGAGGCTGGACACCGAGGCTTGGGAAGAAGGCGGGAGTGAGTCTGGGCCAGGCAGCAGGGACCGTTGTCAAGGCCACAGCACTTAAGAGTCAAAGCCACCGCACTGCTGTGTTTGAGGCATTTATTCAAGATTCCCAGCTTCAGGAGAGAGTGTCCCATGGGCCGAGACCCCTCCCTGGGCTGCGGCAGTGTAGACAGAGGAGGATTTGGTTCTGGCGAGGTGGACTGGGAGCCAGATCTTCATTTACTTATTTAGATGGATGGAAGGCAACTCTCAATTGCTATGGCTTGGATAAACCCACACTGGAATTCTCTCGGTGGCCAGAACGTGTGGACGTCTCATCCCCGGCCACCCGCAGGTGTCTGCTGGGAGGAGGCTTCCAGTCATGTCACACACGCAGGAGAAAGGGAGGCTGTCAACTGTACGGGGGAGAGGAGATCAGCAGTAAGCGAGCTGACAGGAAATGTGGCAAAGTCTGCTCAATGGTTCAAGTTCAAGCCTATGATGAAGTTATCTCTGGAAACAATAGAGCCTGCTTCCTACTGTTCACATTTTTGAAGGAGCAGAGATCTGGGGAAGATCTTTTCCTTGCAGAACAGATTCAATCTTTCAATTGCCTGGTAAACCACAGAAACGTCCAGATGGATTCATTTTAATTTCACTGCCTTTGTAGACAACAGTATAAACAAGTATTTGATCAATATTCAGTCAAGGGAACAACAAACGGGACCAGGGGGATTTGATATTGTAATTTGGGTCCATAATCCCAGGTTATCTTAACAGAGACTTGGCAGTTGTGCTGGGACAAGGCAGGGGGAAAAGAGATGATGTTGGGATTTTCTTCATTTTATTATTATTTTAAAACGTAATTTATTGTCAAGTTGGCTAACATACAGTGTTGGTTTTAGGAGCAGATTCCCGTGTTTCATTGCTTATATACAACACCCAGTGCTCATCCTAACAAGTGCCCTCCTCCATGTTTGTCACCCATTTCCCCCTCTCCCTCACCCCCATCCACTCTCTGTTCTCAGTATTCAAGAGTCTCTCATGGTTTGCCTCCCTCCCTCTCTGTAACTTTGTTTTCCCCTTCCCCTCCCCCATGATCCTCTGTTAAGCTCCTCCTAATTCTCCTATACGTGCAAACATATGATATTTGTCCTTCTCTGCCTGACTTATTTCGCTCAGCATAACACCCTCAAGGTCCATCCATGTTGCTACACATGCCAGATTTCATTCTTTCTCATTGCCATGTAGTATTCCATTGTGTAGATAAACCACATCTTCTTGATCCATTTGTCCGTTGATGGACACTTAGGCTTTTCCATGTTTTGGCTATTGTTGAGAGTGCTGCTACGAACATTGCAGAACATGTGCCCCTATGCATCAGCACTCCTGTATCCCTTGGGTAAATTCCTAGCAGTGCTATTGCTGGGTCATAGGGAACTTCTATTGTTAATTTTTGAGGAACCTCCATACTGTTTTCCAGAGGGGCTGCACCAGTTTACATTCCCACCAACAGTGCAGGTGGGTGCCCGTGTCTCCGCATCCTCACCATGTTGTTTTTTAATTTAATAGAGGATTTAATAAAGTCAAGCATGTCTTAAAAACACCCGAGAGTGGTGACCCCTGGTGACGAGGCTTGTGCCTTCACCACTGCGGGACACTGGGGTCTCCAAGGCTCCCGTGGACCCTCCTCGCCGATCGACACAGCGGGCTCTGCAGGCCTCTCTCATTTTAAAATGACGACGACGCACTTTTTCTACAGAAAAGTCCATCAAATTCCCTCTCTCCTCCCTTAGCTTCCAGGACCCCCCAGGCCACGCGATTCCATCCCCGCACGGAGCCCCTCCTTCGCCTGCTTGTCACACGTGGGGTCCCCTGGGGTCTTTCCTCGTCCTTTTCTTCTGCAGGTCCCGCGTGCTCCCGGCGTCAGGCGGTGCCCCACTGGCTCTGCTCACAAGAGCCGGGCGCTCTGGCTTTCTTGGCGCCACACATGCCTAGTGCATCTCCTCTTTCTCCTCTGAGGCCCAGAAAAGCACTAATTAGCAGAATAATGGCTCGCTGCAAAGATATCCAGGTGCTAATCCCTAGGTGACTGGGGCACCTTCCGTAATTATTAAATCAAGACCTTGAGGTGGAGAGATCATTCTGGATTATCTGAGGGGGCCCCATAGGACCATATGCGCCCTTAAAATTAGAGAACTTTTTCTGCCTGCGAACAGAGGGAGGTTAGGCTAAGAAGAGCAGCCAGAGAGATACAAACACCCACTGGCTCTGAAAACGAAGGAAGGGGCCACAATCCGGGGACTGCCAGTGGTCTCTAGAAGCTGGAGGAGATAAGGAGAGAGACTCTCCCCCAGAGCCTCCAGGAAGAAGTGCAGCCCTGCTGATGGCTTGGTTTTAGCCAGGGCGACCAGGGAGGCCTGGAGCCCACAGTGCTGTGACTTAACAAGCGTGTGTAAGTCTGTAGTAAGTCTCTAATGGCCACAGCACAACAGAGTGACATCCCTAAGGAAAGAAAATGTGATTTATCTTCAACATTTTCTTATGAAACCATTTAAACCATGAAAAGGTAGAATTATAAAACAAATACCCATAGAGCCACCACCTATGTTCTAACTAATTTTTCTATTTACTTTCTCACACATACGTCCACCCATCTGTCCATCTATCCATCTTATTTTCTGATGAGTTTCCAAGTGAGGGGCAACAAGTTAGAATCCTCAGGATGGCTGGTCCCTAAACCTCGGCTTTCCCGACAGTCCTGCCACGTGCTCACTTACCACCGTGAGGGCCACTTGCCCCGGGTGAGACACCACCCACGTGGAGAAAGGCTGGGAGCTCCAGTCTTCGACCCCTTGACTTATAAATCTATAAACAAAACAATTTATTTCCATTATTACATGTAATCACGTGGTCCTTTAATGCTCAAGCAGGACAAGATCACGGGGAGACTTTCCTTCAGGACCCAAGATTTTTTAACTCTAGTTTAGGAGTGTGTGTGGGACCAAATGCTAGAGCTAAGAGAGCCTTAATTCATGCATGGTGCATATTCCCTAAATTTCTCTTTACTATCGCCCGTACTTGTCCAGTGAGTTTTGGGGGTGGTAAAGCTAGAAGGGGGAGATGATGCGTATTCAGGCTTGAATTTCTCATACTATCCATGACAAAGTCAGCATTTAAAATAATTTGTACAGGGAGCCTGGGTGGCTCAGTTGGTTAAGTGTCCGACTTCAGCTCAGGTCGTGACCTTGCGATTCCTGAATTCAAGCCCCGCATCAGGCTCTGTGCTGACGGTTCAGAGAGCCTGGAGCCTGTTTCAGATTCTGTGTCTCCCTCTCTCTCTGCCCCTCCCTTGCTCACTCTCTCTCCTCTCTCAAAAATAAATAAAACGTTTTAAAAATAATAATTTGCACAAGATGGAGTACTGGGCTGAAACCACCAAATGGATTTTAGCAGAAAAGCCTTCCATTTAGCTTTAAAAATGAATCATGATGGAGAAAATAGGATTTATTGAAAAATATGCAGAAATTTTTATTTAAAACGAAGTTCACGTGTCCCAACAGTATTATCTTCATATTGTTATGGTGGGTTTTTTTTCACTCACAAGTTTTAAGTTTCTATACAGTCAAATTGATGAATCTTCACATTTTCTCACCGATACCAGGTTTTAGAAATTCTCAACACTAAATTTGTTTTCTTCTAATACTTTATTTACCAATTTTTATTTAGAATTTACTATTAATTTTTTTAATTTTTAAAAAATGTTTATTTTGTGACAGAGAGAGAACCTACTGTGAGATCATGGCCTGAGCTGAAACCAAGAGTCAGATGCTCAACCAACTGAGCCCTCCAGGTAGCCCTAGAATTTATCTGATTTTTTAATTGAATATTGATTCTAATTTTTGCTGTAATTGCAAATGGTGTCTGTTTTTATTATTTTCTTCCATATCACTGCCACTGAGAATAATGACTTTTTATATATTTCAAAACAATGTCAGTGATGAATGTATCTTTACTCAATTAAACTGGCCTTTTATTTCATTTAGCGCGTTTGTTTTCTTTTTCTTCGCTGTTCCATCAACTGCCTTTACTGCTTTTATTCATAACACTTTGGAGCACGGCTGTAGCTCTTGCAGTGGATCAAAATTTTTGACTTAATAATCCTGTTTTTACCCTGAACTACATTCCTTCAAATGGCAGATGGGATACGGATATTATATGTAACAGATATACTGCATATTTTATACATACACATGCACACACACATACACACAAACACACTCACATGTGCATGGCCACACATGCACACACGCACACACATACATGCATACACACATATACATGTATATCACACACGCACACACACAACACTGGACGACAACAAAGTGTGCTCTGGGGCATTGACACCTTGGAAAGTCTCTCGCAGGCGGGTTTCGATTACAGAAAGAAGAGCAGAGAAACCGAAAAACCACCGCCAAGTCTGACAAATACAAGAGAGAGCTGAGCTGGGGAGGATCGTCAGGAAGAGCCATCGATCTATCGATCTATCGGGAGAGAGCTTCCTAAACAGACAGCCGTGGCCTCTGCCTCTGTCCCCACCGACTGCCTTGTGCTGACTGCTGGGGTGAACGTTCGAGGGAGCAGCAGAGCAGAGCCGGAAATCACAGCTCACAGCCTGAAACTCGACCTGGAAAGATAGGGAGGGAGGGAGGAAGAGGGGAGGAGGGGAAACGAGGGAGTGGACCCTGGCACTTTCCGAGAGGAGGACGGATCTGAAGCGGGGCTGGAACTTGGGGACCAGCGAGGTGATGCAGGAAGCATGCAGGCTGCAGGAGAGGCGGAGAGAACCTGCACCCGCTGAGAGACGAGCCACGAGCCACACGGACAGGGCCCTGGGGGTCCATCTGCGGCGGGCGGCCCGCTGCCATCACACACTAGGCTTGGCTCACAGGGCAGGGGCTCGCCGGTCTGCAGGCGGATAGCAGGCCCAGGGGCGCGGTGCGGACGGAGCCCACATGGCCACACGCAGCTCTGTTCTGATGCTGGCGCACAGCCAAGGCCCTGGGGCCAGCTGCGTCTCATGGATGGGAGGCCGCGGGCGATCCTCAGCCAGAGGGGAGTGTGACTTGGCACCGAACGTTACCTGGCAAGACAGGATGGGCTGCCAAGTCCCACAACACTCAGTAAAATAAAAATGACTTCTCCACAGGGGAGAGAGGGCTCGCCATTGGGCTGACTTGCAGAAGGTCATGTGTCAAAACAAAACCGATGCTTCTCCCCAAACTCAACAGGAAAGGGCTGACCCTGGCCACCCGGTGCACCACCCTGTGCCACTGTCTCTGACTCCTGGCCCAGGTGTCAGCAAGCCCCCCCTTCCCCCCCCCCACTCCGAGAGGCCGCCTGAGACCACACACAGCAGGCCAGCAGACATTCCAGCCCCGTCCTCCCCACTGGTGCTCCCGGGGTCCCCGCGGTGTTTCTCCATTACCCCATCCACTCAGCTCTGTCTCACCAGCACATCGTTTTGGTGATATTTTGGGGAGCTGGAATTCAACCCATTGGATCTGAACTTAAAAATTATTTCCACTCAGATCAGCATGCAAGTAAGAGGGCAAAATAAAAATATTTGCCACTCACAGATGCTTTCTGAAAAAAAAAAAATACTTGGAAATATACACCAGAATTAAACTAAACTCTGTAATATGAGACCTATGAGGCATTACGGAATGACCAGGCACACTGGGGACAAATCGGCCATTTTTACCACAGGCTTTGATCGCATAAACATTTTAAGAGTATAGGAAATGTTTTGGACTTTGGCACGGCTGTCCCGAAAGAGATGAAGAAAGTCAATATAACAAGGATAACTGACCCCCCCCACCCCAAACCAAGAGCCCAGTCAGAGAAGACATACAACAGGGTTGGGGGAAGGAGCACACATGAAGGGAAGGATGCTCGGGAAGTTTATGGAAGGGACTCTCTGCAGACGTGCGGCAAGCTTCAGGGAGGTGATGGGGATGGTGAAGCACTTATTTATTAAAAATAGTGCTGGGGGGCCCAGGTGGCTCCATTGGTTAAGAGCCCAGATCTTGATTAGCGCTCAGGCCACCATCAGATGGCGTGTGACTTCGAGTCCCACTCAGTCTGTGATGACACCGCAGACCTGCTTGGGATTCTCTCTCTCCTTCTCTTTGCCCCTCCCCAGCTCGCAAGTGTGCACACTCTCTCTCTCAAAATAAGTAAATAAATTTCAAATAAAAAAAATGCTAGAAATATGAAAAGGATAAAAAGCCACAGAAAAGGAGGAAATGTTTAATATGGTTTTCTAGAAAATAAAGTAAGTAGACCAAAGAATGAACTGGAAAACCAAGGAAAATTCAACATAAGGAAATCTGTTATTGTAATTCATGATCACCTCAAGTCAAAGGTGAAAGAGCATTTGGGTTTTTTGACAGTTTCATTTAAAAAAAGCCCTCTGATCTAAATAAACATTCTTTAATCATTAAAACCTCTGCAAACAAGGAATAGAACAAAACTCTTTACTTTGACGAGGGATATATTCCAGAAATCTAAGCATCATTACAAATGGGGACATATCAGCAATGTTCCCAGTAAAAGGAACGGGAGAAGGATGCTCACTGTCATCTGTCATCCTAAACAACATGAAGAGGAAGTGACATTTTTAAAAGGATCATAAGAAGACATTATTAGCAAATGAAAAGACTCTCTAACCAGAAAACTCAAATGCAACAAGTGAAAATCTTTTGTCTCTCAAATTCCCAGATGCCTTTTGGGGGGGTCCTTGCCCACAGGAGTTCCTGGCCTCACACGTGAAAGGACGTCTGTCTGGCTCTTACCACATCACCCTGGGGAAGAGCCAGAGCCAGAGCCAGCCACCGTGGCTTTTTATGTAAGTAAATAATATTCTGCTCTGCTCTAGAAGCCCGTGTGGTCATTTAGGATCATGGTAATAAATACAGATATTACAACTTCAAGACTAACAAGCAGCCTTTCTTTTTTTTTTTAAGTTTATTTTTATTTAATTTGAGACAGAGATAGAGAGTGAGCTCGGAGGAGCAGAGGGAGGCAGAGAGCGAGAGAGAGAGAGAGAGAGAGAGAATCCCAAGCAGGCTCCACACTGTCAGCACAGAGCCCAATGCGGGGCTCGAACTCATGAACTGTGAGATCATGACCTGAGCTGAAATCAAGAGTCAGACACTCAACTGACTGTGCCACCAGGCCCCCCCCAAGACCAGTAAGTAGCTTTTCTAGAAGCAACCATAAATAATTAGGAATGTACAAGACTGTTCTAGTCAAATTAGTTTCGAAAGTCCACACTCTGAGGCTCTTCCTCCACGAACAGTAGCATCGACAGACTGAAGGGTCAGGAGGAGAAAACAGCGTGAGGAGGGAGAAGCAGGGTGAGCTGTAGCCAGAGTCCGGTGGCCACTGGGTCTTTTGGAAGCAGGTGGCGATGCCCCGTGGGTTCGGGCTCGGCCAATTTGCAGATACTCATGAGTCTCAAAGCACCCAAAACCTGCCCAAGTGTGGTCCATGATCACGTGCTCAAATGGACATTCACGCTGTAAAATTGATTATTTTCCATTCAGCCATGCACCCATCATGCTCTATCAAAGCCCATTTCACAAAAGACTAGACTCCATACATTTCTGCGGAGACTTCCCACTTAGGTTAGCAGGTAATTAACCGAGTTAAAGTACATGCCATGTGATCTTGGGATTTGAAAATCGTACTCACTTTTTCAGCACGTCAAACATGCTCTTCTCCACATTCACCAGCCACTGCTCCACCGCGCTCCTCACTCGGATTTTCCTACAGTTTTTTCAAAAATAATTTGCAAAGAATTCTTTTTATTCATGTCCCTTTCCTTCGATAAGGCTGCAGGCTGTTTTCTACAGTTACAACATCCACAGGCCAAAAGACTTTAACTCTGTAATTTTGTTTTTTTCTAGATCATAATTTGGAAACCCACACAAAACACACCACCTAACTTGAGGGACTCCTGAAGTCAAAACCAGGGGTTTACAGAGTTAAGAGTTCCCAGTAAAATACGAACTGACAAAGTAGATAAATTATGTTACAAAGCGTGTCTTGACTCCTCGGTGGCTCTAGGGGCGGGTTAGGGATTCTGGGGATGGAAACACTCGGGCGCCACATTTTTTAATCAGTTCACATCCAGAGCCGCAGGCCGAAGGCTGGCAGCAAACTGGACCCGTGTGGCAGCAGGAGCGTCTGCAGGACCCGGCGAACGTGGGGACGTTCACGATGGGGCCCGGGCTCGGGAAGGAAGCAGGGGAGTGGCATTTACAACACCAAGCCAACTGCAAATCTCCTTCCTAACTAAGTTCCTATAACAAAACCTCGTGCTGGCGTTCAGGGTGATGGCAATGAATACAGTGATGGAAAGCTCAAATTCTGCCCAGGTACATGATCTTTGAAGACACAGTTGGCTCAGCAAACTTCCATGAAAGATCAGAAACGTCCCGAGTTTATCAATAAACAAGTGTCACAGACTCTGAGTGCCAAGTCTGTCACCTACAAACCGTACTTGGGCAGCAGCAGACACTCCCCTTCCGCAGATATGAGCATTATGACGGCCGGGGGCCCGATTTCTTGCTTCCACAGCAGTAACTGCTTTATATTTTCAAAGCATTTTGCAAGATGAGGCTGTGGACCAGAAACGAATGTTAGTCACATTGAGAAGTTCTGACTCGGTTGGGACCTCACATCGCGCGGTGGAGAACGGTACCATTACCTGTACAGACTCTGGGTTTCTGCTATTCGCTATGATGTCGAGAAGTTCAGTGTTGCTGAGAAAGTAAAATCTGGGGAAAATCATTCTTTTAATTTCAAGGTAGTCCTGTCCAGAACCAAAAGAAATTAGAGTTCATAACATGTGAATAATTATGATAGGAGTCACTTCTGCATTTGAGCCTCTGTTTACACACAAAGCCCAGAGTGTTCAAATTGCAGTGCGCATAGTACCAGTGCTCAATTTATACTTAAATCACTAAAAATAATTCTTAATGAAACAAAACTAAAACAGATGATGATAAAGACAGAAGTCCCGCAGGTGAGCACACGCGCACGGACACCCACTCACAAAGCGCTGTGTGTGGGGCCATCAGGCCGCCCCCGGGCCCCACCTTTCTGCTGTTCCTGGAGCCTGCGGCCCTGCTGCGGACAAGGCCCCTCTGCCGGCGGCCCCACTGCTAACTGTTTTCTTCATCCCTCTGCCACTTGTGACCATGTGCTTCCAGGATCACTGTGCAGCCCATGGTCCCCAGCTCCCCAGCCCCTCTCTCCTCCCACCTGCCAGTGCACTTCCTGCCCAGCTACGCACCTGTTCCGTGGCTCCGTCACTTCCCTGTGCCCCACATCTACGTGCCTGGCTTCTGACTCAAGATGGTCATTTGACTGCCCCGTAAGTACTGGATTCTCAACATGGACAGCACTTACTTGTTCCACACAAGCTGCCTCCCCCTACTTCCTATCTCTGAAGTGTGATCACCTACCACTCCAGTGGCCATCACCCTGGGCCTCTCTCCTCCATCCGCCCACCTGCAGCTCCTGGCTCCACCTTCCTTCATCCTGACCACCGTCTTCCCTCAGTCCCCCAGGACTCCTAGCCTTTCCATTGGTTTCTTCATATGTACTTCCACTGCCCCCTATCTAGACATAGTCTGTGCTCCCTTCTACAGACACATTTCTCAATCAAGTCACTTCACTCTCCCAGTCAAAATCCACCGTGACATCCAAGGCCCTTGTCACCAGGCCCTGCTGCCCGGAGGATCTTCCCCCGCCCTCTGCCCTTCTGCGACCAAGGCTCCATGAGTACCATCCTGTTACAACCCCAGAGTGTGCCACACCTACCCGTGCTCCGTGTCTGTGACCCCCCTTGCCTGGGGTGCTCTTCCCAGCCACCCACTCCCTGACTCTTCCACCTGGCTAACTCCCACACCTATTCCAAAACCCAGGTGAGTTCTTGCTTCCCCCGGCCTGGGTGAACCTCTCTTCTTTTGTGCGACCACACCACCTGGCCCATCACAGCACACATCACAGGCTGGCATCTCTCTACTTGGGCTCCTGGGACAGACCCTGAGTTCTGTAATCGGAGGGGATGCTCTCAGAAGTCCCAGCATGTAGTGCGGTGCCTGCTATGAAGCAGGTGCTCAATACATAAATACATGGAAAATTCCTGCTTGGTAATGATGCTTAGTAAGAGTCCAAAGATACGCTAGAAATACTTAGAAGACTTATCTCAGTCCTTACTCAGTAAATTTGCTATGATTAACTAGATCCCTCTGGGAGGGGCCCCAGATCCTGGATTCACATAGCAGTAGGTCTCCCTGGGTAGAGAATTTTCTATTGGCTGAACCTGCCACATGTGGGTATTCTGGAGAGGTCATCCACAACCACTGTGAGTTGTGTGCAAGAAGGAAAAAAGGTACAAAACTGGAACAAGATCTTGCTTTTTGAAGTGAATATATTCACCACGGATCTCAAATATTAAAACCCAATATTTAAAAAATATGTATATCTGGCTGAAAATTTAATGTTCTGGCAGAGGTTTTGTTTGTTTTGTTATGGGGGGATGTGTGAGACAGAGAGAGAGAGAGAGGGAGGGAGAGGACATTCTGGGGAGGGGCAGAGGGAGAGAGAAAGAATCTTCAGCATCTCCACACTGCGTGTGGAGCCTGACGTGGGACTTGATCTCATACATCATGAGATCATGACCTGAGCCAAAATCAAGAGTCAGATGCTTAACTGACTGAGCTACCCAGGTGACCCTGGGAATTTAAATATATGGATGGAATCAATAACTCACTTTATAAAATGATCACACTAGGACTTCCAGGGGAGATGGCAGAGTAGGAGGACCCTAGGCTTGCCCTGCCGCCCCAGGGACACCCCCCAGATAACACCCACATCTGCATAAATAGCTCAGAAAATGACCCAAAGACTGGCAGAACAAACCCCCCAACTAAACGTAGAGAAGAGATCACCCTGAGGAAGAGAGGAAAGGCAGAGAGGTGTTGGGGAGCTAAGTGGACTTTGGGGTCTGTCTGTAGGAGAGAGTGGGTGCAGAGAAGGGAGAGAAACAGAGCCTCTCATGGGGACCAGAATGAGAAACACAAATCCCCATAAATTCTGGCCTGGAAAATGAGACGGGTCAAATCTCACAAGCTCTTACAACGGGCAGGACTGAAAAATCTAGAATTTTAAAAATCAGTAACTGTGCTGGAGGGCCAGGGCTCGGTGGGGGACGCCTCCAGGAACGCAGGAGCTGGCAGGCACCACTTCCGCCCCTGCCCCTGGCCTAGATGTCCTGACCCCTGCTGGAACTAGCATGTTAACAGCATCTCTCCTTATTCCGGTGTGGACAGTCCCCCTCCAGCCAGACCTCGGCTCCAGGCCCCCTCCCACACACACCTGCACAGACCACGGTAGCACGGAGCCCCCAGCCACACTCATGTGTGGATCCACCACCGCCATGGGCCCTTGGCCAGATCCCATCCAAGCAGCACTACAAGCCGGCAGTGTACGAGCAGCCCAGACGGGCCACAGCACCCCACAGTGAGTCCTGCCCCCGGGGAGAGAGGAAGATAACCTACACACCAGTCTGACTGTGGCCCCAGCGGTGGGCTGGGGGCAAACATCGGGTCTGACTGCAGCCCCACCCCTCAGTACAAGTTTGTGCGAAAACACAGGACAGTGCCCTGCAGTTGGGAGCTGTCCCATCTCTGGCAAACTCCTGGTCCGGGCTGCCACCGCCCCAGGCCGGCCCACTAACAGCACAGGGATGGGACCCTGCCCACAGCACACAGAGAACCACTGCAGACGACTGGATGGAAAACACAGTTTGGCTGCAACAGTAGGACACCCCTGTAGCAACACACACAACACACACAGGGGACCCTCCTGAAGTGCCATTTTCCAGTGAACAGGGGACACCGCACCCCAGGGCACTCCAGGGCCTCTTCTTCATAAGGTCACTGCTTTCAAGCACAGCAGACGTAGCTGGCTTTCCTAACAGGGCAACAGACAAAATGAGGAGACGGAGGAATCGGTCCCAAATGAAAGAACAGAACAAAACCACAGCAAGAGAGCTAAATGAAACAAAGATAAGTAATATGCCTGGAAGAGAATTTAAAATAACCATCATTAATGACTGGACTTGAGATGAGAGTGGAGTTGAGTGTCTCAATGAGACACTCAACAAAGATAGAAATCGGGGATGAAGAAAAGAACTGAAGTTAAAAATACATGAGAGGGAATAAATAGTAGACTAGAGAAAGCAGAAGATCAGCTACCTAGAGAGCAGAGTAATGGAGAGCAATCAAGCTGAACAGAAGAGAGAAAAAAAAAAAATAACTGAGAACAGGTTTAAGGGAACTCAGAGATACCAGCAAGCACAATAACATTCATGTTATAGGGATCCGAGAAGGGGAAGGGAGAGAAAGTGGGAAGAACATTTATTTGAAGAAATAATAACTGAAAACTTCCCAAATTTGGGGAAGGAAACAGAAATCCAGATCGAGGAGGCACAGAAAGCCCTTAACCAACTAACCCAAAGAGGTCAACACCAAGACACAGTAATTAAAGTGGCAAAAAGCAGTGATCAAGAGAGAATTTTAAAAGTAGCAGGAGACCTTCAAGTCAAGCGTCTTGTTCTCACTGTTTAACAAAAAAAAAAAAAAAAAAGAACAACATAAAAGTAGCAGGAGAATGCATGGGTGGCTCAGTCAATTAAGTGTCCAACTTCAGCTCAGGTCATGATTTTGCCATTCGTGAGTTCAAGCCCCACACTGGACTTTGTACTGTCAGTACAGAGACTGCTTGAGATCCTCTGTCTCCCTCTCTCTCTGCCCCTCCCCTGCATCCATGCCGCACGCCTCTCTCTCTCTCTCTCTCTCTCTCTCTCTCTCAAAAAATAAACATTTATAAAAGCAGCAAGAGAAAAGAAACTAGTGACATAAAAGGGAAATCCCAAAAGGCTAATAGCTGAGTTTTCAGCAGAAACTCTGCAGGCCAGAAGGGAGGGGTGTGATGTAATCAAAGTGCTTAGAGGAAATCATGTGCAGCCAAGAATATTCCATCTAGCAAGGCTCTTCTTCAGAACAGAAGGAGACATAAAGAGCTTCCCAGACAAACAAGGTTTAAAGGAGTTCATGACCACTAAACCAGCGCTACAAGAAATGATAAAGGGGACTCTGAGTAGAAAGGAAAGATCATAAGCAGGAATAAGAAAAGCAGGAATCACAGAAGCAGTAAAAACAAGTATGTATGTAAAACTCTGTCAAGGGATTCACTAAATAAGAGTAAAGTATGTAAAGTATGACACCATATACCTAAAATGTGGGGAGGAGTAAAAATTTAGTACTTTTACAATGGGTTCAAACTTAAGTGACCATCAACTTAGTACAGATTTCTACATGCATAAGATGTTATACAGACACACCCAATGGTAACCACAAATCCCAAACTGGTAATAGATATGCAAAAAATAAAGAGAAAAGAACATAAGTATATCACTAAACAAAGCCATCAAACCATGAGAGAAGACAGCAAGAGAAGAAAGGACCAGAGAAAAACTACAAGAACAACCAAAAAATGAGTAACAAAATGGCAATGCATACACACCTGTCAATAATTACTGAATGGAAATGGACTAAATGCTGTAATCAAAAGACACAGGCTGACAGAACGGATTAAAAAAACCAAGATCCATGTATATGCCACCTACAAGAGATTCATTTCCGGCCTAAAGACACCTGCAGATTGAAAGTGAGGGGACAGAAAAGCATTTATCATGGAAACTGAAGTGAAAAGAAAGCCACAGTAGCAATACTTATATCGGACAAAGTAAAGATTAAATCAAAGGCTATAACAAGAGACAAAGACACTGTATAATCATAAAGGAAATATTCCAACACAATATAACAATTGTAAATATTTATGCACCCAATATGAAAGCACTCAAATACATAAAGCAGCTAATAACGAACACTGAAAAAATAATCAACAGTAATACAATAATAGTACAGGACTTTACTACTCCACTTACACCAGTGGATAGATCATTCAAACAGAAAATCAACAAGGAAACAAATGTGGCTTTGAAGGACACATTGGACCACATGAATCTAACAGATATATTCAGGACATTCCATCCCTAACAGCAGAATACACATTCTTTCTAACTGTACAGGGAACATTCTCCAGAACAGATTACGTGTTAGATCACAAAACAAGTCTCAACAAATTAACAAAATCAAAGTCACACCATGCATGTTTTCCAACTGCAATGCTACAAAACTAGAAATCAACCACGAGAAAAGATCTGAAAAGAGCACAAATATGTGGAGGATAAATTACATGCTACTAAACAATGAATGGGTCAATCAAGAGGAAATTTAAAAATACACTGAGATAAATTAAAACAAAAACACAGTGGTCCAAAATCTTTGAGAGGCAGCGAAAGTGGTTCTAAGAGGGAAGTTTACAGCAATATAGGTCTACCTCAATGAAGAAGAAAAATCTCAAGAACCTAACCTACTACCTAAGGGATCTAAGAAAAGAAGAACAAACAGAACTCAAAACTAGAAGAAGGAAGGAAATAATAAAGATTGAGCAGAACTAAACAAAACAGAAACTAAAAAACACAGTAGAAAAGATCAATGAAACCAAGGACTGGTTCTTTGAAAAGATCAATAAAACTGATAAATCTTTAGCCAGATCCATTCCCCTCCCTTGCAAAAAAAAAAAGACCCAAATAAAATCATAAATGAAAGAGAAAAAATAACAACTGGCAAGAAAGAAATATGAAGGATCATAAGATTATAAGAGAACATTATGAAAAATTATATGCCAACAAATTTGACAACCTAGAAGAAATGGATAAGTTCTTAGAAACATATGACCTCCCAAAACTGAATCAGAAAGAAACATAAACTTTATTTAAAAAAAAAATTTTAATGTTTTATTTCTTTGTGAGACAGAGTGAAAGGCAGCGCGAGCAGGGGAGGGGCAGAGAGAGAGAGAGATACAGAATCCAAAGCAGGCTCTAGGCTCTGAGCTAGCTGTCAGCACAGAGCCCAATGCAGGGCTCAAAACCACAAACCGTGAGATCATGACCTGAGCTGAAGTTGGACGATTAACTGACTGAGCCACCCAGGCGCCCCAAAACATAAACTTTAAACCAACTTTTTATCAATAATTAAAAATCTCCCATAAAACAAAAGTCCAAGACCAGAAGCTTCATAGGCAAATTCTTCCAAACATTAAAAAAAAGTTAATACCTATTTTTTTTCAAACTATTCCAAAAAATACAAGAGAAAGGAAAGCTTCCAAATGTATTCTATGAGGCCAGAATTACCCTGATACCAAAGCCACAGAAAGATACACAAAAAAAGAGAAAGACTGGCCAAAGCCCTGATGAACATATATGCTCAAAATCCTCAACAAAATATTAGTAAACCGAATCCAACAATACATTAAGAAAATCACTCACCACGATCAAGTGGGAGTTAATCCCAGGATGTTCTCGTTACACAGAATGAGAAAAAACATCCCTAAAATTTGTACAGAATCACCAAAGACCCTGAAAAGGCAAAGCAATCTTGAAAACGAACAAAGCTGGAGGCATCACAATCCCAGATTTCAAGATATATTACAAATCATTACTAATCAAAATAGTATGGTACTGGCATAAAAACAGACACATCGATCCATGGAATACAACAGAAAACCCAGAAACAAACCTACAATTATACGGTTGATTAATCTTCGACAAAGCAAGAAAGAATATCCAATGGGGAAAAAATGGTGTCTTCAACGAATGATGCTGGGAAAACTGGATGGCAACACGCAAAAGAATGAAACTTGACAAGTTCCTCACACCACACACAAAAGTAAATTCAAATTGGATTGAAGACCTAAATGTGAGACATGGAAACATTAAAATCCTAGAGAAGAACACAGACAGTAACTTCTTTGCCACTGGCCACAGTAACTTCTTTCTGCATATGCCTTTTGAGGCAAGGGATGCAAAAGCAAAAATAAACAAGTGAGACTACTTTCTGCACAGTGAAGGAAACAATCAACAAAACTTTAAGGCAACCCATAGAATGGGAGGGATATTTACAAATGACATATTTGATAAATGGCTAGTATCTGAAATATATAAAGAATTTATACATCTTGATACCATAAAAACCCCAATAATCCAATTAAAAAATGGGCAGAAGACATGAACAGACATTTCTCCAAAGAAGACATCCAGATGGCCAAGAGACACATGAAAAGATGCTCAGCACCATTCATCATCAGGGAAATACTAATCAAAACCACCGTGAGATATCACCTCACACCTGTCAGAATGGCTAAAATCCCAAACACAAGGAACAACAAATGGTGAGGATGTGGAGACAAAGGAACCCTGGTGCACGGTTGTTAGGAATGCAAACTGGTGCAGCCACTGTTTTGCAGCAGGAAAACAGTATGGGGGTTACTCAAAAAATTAAAACTAGAACTATCATATGATCCTCTAATTCCACTACTGGGTATTTAGTCAAAGAATATGAAAACACTAATTCAAAAAGATACATGCACCCCAACATTTATAGCAGCACTATCGCCAAGAGCCAAACCATGGAAGTAGCCCAAGTGTCCGTCAAACGATGAATGGAGAAAGACGATGTGGTGTATATACACAATGGAATGTTACTCAGCGGTAAAAAGGAATGACATCTTGTCATTGGCAACGACATGGGTTACTTGCGGAGGGCACAATGCTAAGGGAAGTAAGTCAGTCAGAGAACAAGAAATACCCTATGATTTTACTCACATGTGGAATTTAAGAAACAAAACAAATGAACAAAGGGGGAAAAAAGAGACAAGCTGAGAAACAGACACTGAACTCTAGAGAACAGACAGGTAGTTACCAGAAGAAAGCGGGGGGAATCGGTGAATCGGTGAAGGGGATTAAAAGTACACTTACCACGATGAGCATGAGTAAGGAATGGAGTGCTGAATCACCGTACTCTATGCCTGGAACTAATATGCTCCATAATAGCTGTACTGGGTTTAAGACAGAAGTAAAGGGGCACCTGGGGGGGGGTCATTAGGGGCACCTGGGGGGGTCAGTAGATTGAGCATCTGACTCTTGACTTCAAGTCAGGTCATGATCTCATGGTTTGTGAGTTCGAGTCCCATTGGCCTCTGAACTGATGGCTTGGAGTCTGCTGAGGATTCTCTCTCTCTCTCTCTCTCTCTCCCTCCCTCCCTCCCTTGCTTGGGCTCACTCTCTCTCTCTGTGTCTCTATCCTCAAAATAAGCTTAAAATTTTTAAATTAAATTAAAAAAAATGAAATCAACAAACTACTCAATTTCAACTGTTGCTAATCTTGTCCATCTAATAATAGCAGTCATGCTGATATAAATAATTGACACCAGTTAAGTACTTCCTCTGTGTCAGCTCATTTAGCACAAAGCCCCTCGAGGCAGGCACCACCATCATCCCCAATGTGAAGAGAGGGAAACCTAGGCACTGAAAACCTGGTTTTGTCTGAGGCCATTTAGAGTGGCCTGTCCACCTTTTTGTTCATCCTGATGATACCTACACTAACCCCATAGCTGGTGAGGGCTGGCAAAATTGTTGGCGGCCACAGCATGGAAAATCCGTGTCAGGACTCGTTTCTGTCCTGCACTACCTCACATTTCCAAGATGCAATCGTTCCCCATGCTGGGACTATTGGTGTTACCTCAAGACTCTTCATTATGTATTCCAGATGCAGATTGCAGTTCTGCAGAGTTTCGAGGAACCCAGCAGAGGTAGTTATCCGCAAAGCATCCAGCTTGTTCTGTATTTTTGACATGATTTCTCCCCACATGGAGATCACTTGAGAGAAGAGCTTTGCTTCCGCGGGGAGCTGCCTTGAGGAAGGGAAACAAGAGACAACGTCACCTATTTAGAAATGTCATGACGTGTTGTTTTTGCCGATCCATAACAAGGTATTTCATAGTGTTTATTATACACGACGACGTACACATAGGAAATCTGGGAGAGATCAGACACACATCCATCATTTAACAAGATCAGACTTACTGCGAGTTCCGAGATAGACACAAATTCTACATAAAGTGAGTAAAAGTGATTTGTGTCCTAAGAAATGCAGGAAAGCAAAGGCTAATGAATTCTAGAGGAAATGGGGTCTGCGGGAACAACTTCTCCAAGAAGCTTCTCCAAGCATACGCGAGAGGGCAAGGTCACCTGTGGCTGAGAACCAGCGGCCTGCAGCAGCAGTGTGCTCTCATGCTTCTATCCAGAGAAGAGGCAGGTCCTGGTTTCCAAAACCCCAAACCCCAGGGCAACAACTGTCAAGCTCTCCCACGAGTGCGCCACCACTGTCCCGTTCCCCATTTGGGGCAATGGGCCTAGAAACTTCTTCGGCTTAGCAAAAACCCTATTGGGGAGGGGCCCTCATCATCCCCTCTGTCGGGCACCCTCCCCTCTCCCCAGAAGACTCTAGGGTGACCTCACCAGGAGCATGCAGGGAGGGGAATGGACAGCATCCTGGTCTCTCACACATTCTCTTCAGAAATTCTCCCTGCTAATGAACCTCCCGTCCCCTCCTCTTTACCACACTCCCCCTGGAATCAGGGCCCATCATCCTCCTCTTTTCAAAGGCAGGGCCGTGACAGACGCGTGTTTCCTTTCCTTGAGCGCTGTGGTGCTGCAGTCATCAGCACCCCTTAATTTCAGGCCCCCTTTTCTCTCACAGCAAAGCCTGGGAAGAATGAGGTGGCGCCATTTTGAACTGAGAGAGTCTTATCTTTCCGTCAATTAAGAATTTTTGTAAAGAGCAAGACTGAGGTTTGAATTTCAGGCACTAAGTTGTAACCACAAAGGACACATTCCGCGGGTATGTGGTTTCCCCATGAGAACTACAAAATGACTAGAGCTTGGTGCAAGGACTTTAGAAAGGGCTCCTCCCACAAAATACATATCACAAACACGGCATTGTTTCCTGCAAAGCAAAACTCACACCTACGCAGTTTTCTTATGTGAGCCACCCGAAGCTCCCCTCTGCCCCTAAAATAAACGTCACGATACTTAACCCGATACCTAAGGTCCCCCCTCATCTGCTCTAACGCCTTACAAACACGCGCTCTGTGATAGCCTACCGGATTTCAGAATGGCTCCCCGACTAGCCTGTGTCATTTATGGTCAACACTTCAAATCTGTCTAGACATTACAGATGTCACAATTTACACACTCTTGTGACCAGTGACTTTAAAGAGAGACCAAGTAATGCGAATGCTATGAATAAAAAGAAAAGGGAGAATTTTCCCTAGCTGTCTAGGGGACAGTTCTCTCCATTCTCTCACCTGCTCCAAAGTAAGAAACCACCATTCATGTACATAGACTACTGAACACACGTTTACTGCTCATACGAAAACCACACTAATGTTCTAGAATTAAGTAGACACACAGTATTGTGGTTTAGGGATTACAATGATCTATGTGACATTTCTTATCCAATCCTTAACAGTTTCATATCTGAAATTGAGAAATAGGAGTTTTTTAAAAAGAGATGATGCTTGCAATCTTCCATGAAAGAAAAAATAATTCAGCACATTTTACTCCTGTGCCCATAGGCAGGTTATTTTAGAATGTTCACTGAAGAAATGACTTCTCAGGGATTACAGGCAATAAATACTCACCGTATGTTTCTCTTTTTTTCAACCTCTATATGGCTTATTGTTTGTTTGTTTGTTTTTTTACCTTTGTATTTCTACAGAATAAAAGACTGGTTCCAGATACAGCCAATTTCTTTGACAATTCATCCATTCCTCCAGAGTGTAAGAGAAGAGAGTCAAGTTCTGATCCCACTTTTTCACAAGATCCTGTAAGATAAACATGTACATTCAGGAAGTTTTACAGGTCATGCAGTAGAAATATATCCAAGGGGATTATCAGTCACCGACACACAGATGCTATGGTAGACGGTCACATCAGTAAATGCAAATCTAATTATATTTCGTTTGGGGAGAGGTTTGAGCTGTTCTTCTGTTCATGCAATTTTCTGTCTTAATTTATGATGCAGCATACAGGTATTTTTTGGCTTGTATATCCTTTCAGTGCTTTCTTTAAATATTTTTGTACACAAGTACATAGAATACCTTTCGTATTACATAGTTACATAAATGCAGTTACAAAACAATGTGTATAATGTGGCTGCATTCACTTAACCATAAATATTACATATTACATAAATGTTACATAAATATGCTCATATTTTATATACATTCCTTCTTAACTTTTTTGTGTTTTGTTTTGGCTTCTTTACCTAATAGTGTCTTTTAGAGAGGCATTAGTACTTACAGGTTGTCTTCATTCTTTTCTCTTATTTTTTTTAACATTTTATTTATTTATGAGAGAGAGAGAGAGAGAGAGAGAGAGAGAGAGACATAGCATGAGTGGGCAAGGGGCCGAGAGAGAGGGAGACACAGAATCCCAAGCAGGCTCCAGGCTCTGAGCTGTCAGCACAGAGCCTGACGTGGGGCTCAAACTCATGGACCACGAGACCATGACCTCAGATGAAGTTGACTCAACTGACTGAGCCACCGAGGTGCTCCTAGTCTTTTAATTAAATAAAACATTGTGTGGATATCACATATTTTTCCAGCTAGTATATTTATTAAAGAAAGAGGAAAATGGTTAAAAATCAATTAATACTAAAATGCTTAAAAACCAGTAGAATGGCCCTTCCCTTAACATGGATTCTTGAGAGGGAACCACTTATAACTCATTTATTTATCTCCCATCTGCTGTGTACGCCCATATTTCCTTTTAAATCCATTTTATATTTCAATACCCTTATTAAGGAATAACTGACTTCAGTAAATGGATTTTTAAATCTCACAATTTAATGCTTTGACATATGTTTGCAACCATGAAGCAGTCACCTCAAGATAACAAACGTATCCATCACCTCAGAAAGGTTTCCTGTGCCCTATTGCAATCCCTTCCTCTACACGTGCCTCTTCCCATCCCTAAATGAGCGCTGATCGACATTCTAAAACTACAGCCTCGTTTGCATTTTCTAGAATTTTATATAAATGAAACCGTACAACAGGTATTCTTTCTGGTCTGACTTCTTTCACTCAGCAGAATTATTCTGAGATTCACTCATGTTGTTGCACAGATGAGAACCGCATTTCCTTGTTACTGCTGCACAGTATTCCCTGGTACCGATGTACGACAACATGCCTGTGCTGCTCCAGGCGTCCAGCCACGTCGCGTCCTGTTTCTCACTAATACAAATAAAGCTGCTGTGAATATTCGGGTGTAAGTCTTTGTATGGACATAAACCTGCCTTCCTTTTGGGTAAATACCTATGAGTGGAATGGCTGCCTCACGTGGTGGGTCTTTTTTTTAACTTTTAAAGAAACCTTTCAAGTGATTAGAACACCCTACCTGTTACGCAGCTGTGTATGAGATTCCCACCAACACCTGGGATGATCCGTCTTTTTCGTTGTAGTCATTCCATATGATGTGTAGTGGTAGCTCACTGGGATTTTAACTTTTCCTGGATGAGCAATGAAGTTAACATCCTTTCACATGTTTATGTTCCCTCCAAATACTTTCTTTGGTGAAGTAGCCACTTAAATGTTTTTCCCATCTCTTTACTGTTTTTTGAGAGTTCTTTATATATTCTCGAAAGAAGTCCTTTACCAAACATGTGTGTTGCAAATATTTCATTCCAGCCTTGGCTTATATATATTTGCCTTAACAGTGTTATTGGAGGAGCACAAATTTTTAATTTTGATGAAATTCAGTCGACAGACTTTTCCTTCTACTGATCAGTCTCTAGGTTGCACACTGAAGAAAAGTGCCTAGCCCAAGATCACAAAAATTTTGATGTTTTCTTCTCAGTGTTTCAGAAATGTCCTCTGCTGTTTTAGGTCTATGATCCACTCGTGAGTTAAAGTTTACATGTGCTATAAGATATGGTTTGAAGGCATTTTAAAAATTTGTTCGGCATACAGCTGTCTGATTTGTCAGCACCATTTCTAAAAAGACTTCTTTTTACACTTAATCTCTATTCTTTTCTTTAGGTCTGTTTATGAGTGCAAGCAGGGGAGGGGCAGAGAGAGAGAGGGAGAGAAGGAGGCACTGTGCAGAGCCTGATGCAGGGCTCGAACTCATGAACTGTGAGAAATTGAGAGTCGGACGCTTGACGGACTGAGACCCCCATCTGCTCTGTGATCCCTATTCTGTACTGTTTGTCTGTCTTTAAACCAATACAAAGACCAGTTTTGGTTACGCAGCTTTACAAGAAGTCTTAAATCACGTACTGTTGATCTTCCAACTTTGTTCTTTTTGAAAATTGTTTAAAGTCACTCATCTTCCTTCCTGTAATGTCCGATCTGCTGTCAATCCCCTCCCGGTCCATTTCACCTCAGATATTAGTGTTCATCTGCAGAAGTTTGACTTTGGTCTTCACATTTAATCTATTTAACCCTCCCCGATCTACTGGTCTCTAATTCGGACTTCCCGCTCAGTTCAGGATCAGTTTCCGTCAGTACATTTTTTTCACTATGAATTCTATTTCTTACATTTTTGAATGCATCATAATGCAGACACCGTGATTTTATCGTATGGGGGCCTGGATATTTTTGTTTTGTTTTCCCATAAACAGTCTTGAGCTTTGTTCTGAGTGCTGTTATGTTACTTAGAAACGGCTTCATCATTACGGGTTTTGCTTCGAAGCCCTGTGGGAGCAGCGTTTCCTCCAAGGCTGACAGCCGCGTCCTCCCGGCGCGCCGGCGTTGCGCGTCCAAGGCGCTGGTGGGTACGGGCGCCGCTCCCAGCCCAGCGGGCTGGTCCCCTCGCCCTCGCGCGGGCTCACTTCCTGAGCGCCAGGAGTTTCTGGAGTGCGCGTGCCAGCACTCGGCGCGGCCAGGCCCCGGGCTGTGCCCTCCGTGCTCCGTGACCCCGCGCCCAGCAGGCTCCGGTCGCTCCGCTCAAGGGAGGCCTAAACTCAGGCTCTTCTGGTTTCCCTCCTCACGGAATCTCGTTGTTCGATGCCTGAGGCCGTTCGATGCCTGAAGTCGGGCTTCCCAGAAGCCACAGTCTGTCTCTTTCCTTCTGTTCCGCCGCGGGTACTTCGCGGCAAGGCGTACGGGTCCCTCCCCTGGAAGCAGTGTGTGCGCGCGCGCACATGCGCAGTTGTTCGTTCTGAGTACGCCCATGTATCATTTACCACGTTTACTTTCCTTTACTGAAGGCATCAGGTGCTCTAAACGTACCTTTTCATGGGCTCTAAGCCAACTCTGACAAGGTCTGATTTAGAATTCTCTTTCTAAATAAATTTTCTAAGAAAAAATTAGTACATTTCTTGTATATTCTAATGGATGCTTTTACATTTCTAGTTTTTGTGATACTTTTGCTGTTGTTGTCTATTTTGTGGTGTTTCTCTGCTGTTCATTTTTTTATTTGAATGTCTGTGGTTGGAGAATATGGTCTATTTGGTTTATCCCCTTTTCCTCTAAGATTCAGTTAACTGACATCTTCCCTAAATGCTAGCGTGTTTGCAAATAATGTGAATCCCATTTGATGGGCACACATTTCTCTCACACTACCTATAATCAGTTATGGTAATTTTAGTATTAAGTATCTCTATATTATTACCTGTCTTGTTGAGTTTCCTTAAATTTTTAAGTGATTCTTGGCCATGTTAGTGGATGCGGTGCTGTGCAGAGAGGCACTATCAGGGACCATTATCAGCTGACCCTGTCTTTCAATTCCTAATCATGATGTGTTCTAGCAAACTGCATGGACACACAGGTGTGGACACACAGGACTCACCATTAAGAGCAACTGCACAGGAAATGGAAAGGAAGAGTCTCGTGTCGGCAAGCAGGGTCTGCGGGCAGTGGGCCTGGTGTGCGCCCCACCAGAACCACAGATGTTTCTAGTGGCAGTGGCACCATCGGTAAGTCACCGCGTACGCGGTCATGTTTTTATAAGATCTAAATTTATTTTATTTGCCCAAACTGAACTTTATGACAACTCTTCACCAACGAACAGTTAATGTTTCCCAAAAAAGTTGTTTCTAGCTTTCAAACTACTAAATACTCCATCTCATTTCTGTATGGGTATATAAATGATTTGTATAATTCAAAGGTTGTGAAACGCAAAAATTTGAAGCAACAAATAAAACTACAGACAATTACAGTATTTTCCCTTCGCCACAAATTACAGTATTTTCCTTTTGCCATAATATTTACCTTAAATGGCCCGAGAGAGGAAGACCCTTTAACTGTTGCCAGTGTGATCTGAGACTCTTCTAGCTGAGCAAGGACATCATCTGTGGATGAAAGGATCAGGACGGAGTACGTCTCGGACTGATGGACGACCAGGTGTAGTGGGGTCGTGTTCCACAGATCAATAATCTTAAACAGTGTTTTCTCAAGAGCAGCCTCCTTAGTGGCAGAGGTTGAGATTTCGTTTATTTTGTTTTCGTACTGAAACATCTGAAATGAAACATTATTCTTTAACATTCGGCAGACGAAGGGTTCCTGATGTGCTTACAACGCAGGACTGCTGTGAGCGTGCCCCTCCCGGCCTGACCCTCACTTCAGGGCCCTTCCTGACCATTTCACATCTCCCACTCTGCATGCTCGGTGAAGTTTCTAGTCACTCCGTGCACTTCCTCTAATTGCAGCCCGTGTGAAGATCAGTGGACAACACCTTGAGCCCCTGTGCAGATGGCTGCCCCCTTCAGCCTTCCTTTCTCTGCACTGGCGCTGACGGCTTTCCCCCTTCCGTGACACGCTGTCACTTCCAATAGTAATTCTCGGGAAATGATCTGAGAGAATGGAATCTGGGAAGACCCAGCTTCCCCTGGCTCAGCTTGCCTTGCCTTGCCTCCAGGAGGATAAGGGGCTCAAACTCACATTAGTGGATGCATTGTACGTACAGGCCTTCCTTTCCCAGAGACAAGGTCCTGATGCAGGGTCTCAGCATCACTGCCACACAGACACTGGGAGAGCTTGCGTTTCCACATGTGAGAATTAACTCATGGTCTGATCGCTCTTATCCCTCAAAGAAGGAGCTACCGCTGGTCCCACATGTCATCTCCATGGGGCTGAAAAGTGATGCCTGATCCTGTGTTTTGGTGAAACACGGCCAGAGCTCATGGCCTGCCAGAGATGGGCGTCACGGTGCTGACATCAGCTGACTGCTTATGGCCTAAGCGGACACTTTGAGAAGGACGCCTGCTTTTGGACACAGACTATTCCTCCAAAGGCAGATCAGGAACCACAGGGCCATCAAGCCTCTGTGCTGAACAAAGAAGCTTGTGCCTCACAATGACATTCCGAAGTTGCTAATAACCAACTCCAGACACAGGTAACGCATAAAGCAAAATTTCAACCAAGCATGCTTAGCCCTTTCCACTCTTTATGGTCCAAGTTTGGGAGCTGACTGACCAATGCTCAGATCTATCAAGTAATTTAGTAATACCTAAGAGGTTTCAGATGAGTCTTAAGGCCGATCACTGATTATCTGCCTCTGGGATTAAGCACAGGGTTTCTAACGCATGATTGATTAAAAAGACGAATCATGAAGTGATTGTGTTCATTTTATGAAAACGATCTCTTCCTCCGCATTTACTTTGTGACGTGCTTTCCGTGTCACAGGCTTTTCAGAGCCTACACAACACGCTGGACAGGAACTGCAGTCATGACGTAACAGATGTATCTGGCAGGACCACAGGCCAGCTCCTGTCGTGGGCTGTCCTGGGCAGTCTGGCTGCAAGACCGCCGTCTCGGGGTCAGCCATGCACTACACATGCTCTAGGAAACGAAGGCTGGGTCTCGGGGCCCAATCCTGTCCATCTAGGTACTCATGTTACACTAGGTAAGTTGTTGAATAGAAACAGGATGATCAAAATCTTCCGGGAACTCTTCAAGTTCAGGTAAGACTAGCAGCTGATGGCCCGCTCTCCCCTCTGACCATGGCAGCAATTAACCTCGGGGAGAAAGGGTTCCTCCGACTCCTGCCGACAGCACTTCAGAGGCTGAAGACCTTGTTCGTTTTTGTTTGGATGTTGCATTATCTTAATTTGGATCCGCCACAAACGGCATGAGAATCCGTTCTTAAACTAACTCCTCACATGAGAAATACAGGACAGCTCGCTGGAACCCTTTCCAGCTCTGGAGCCACCAGGCCACCTGCTGATCCCCTCGAGCCCCGTCTGCCCTCACTTTTAGTGCCTGCTGCTAGATTGTCTGCCAACTGTCACCCTTTCCGTGACTCACACAGAGATGACTCCAACAGCCCAAGGCTTGGAAAGGGAAAATGTCATTGCAATTGTGCTACGTTCCTGGGATGCTGTTTTGGATAAACCTAGCTGACGACATTGACATATATGGTCTGAAATCATCTAGATGTTGTGCTGAATTCACTGCTGGGACGTGGATCAGTTAGGAAACCTGGGATGCTCCAGGACAGGATGAGATTTAGATGGGATGATTGTGGAGAGAGCAGAAGACTGAAAGAGTTCATCATTTTTAGGCTAAGCACCTGAAAAACAACGGAGGTGCCATTTGCTGAGCTGGGGAGGGGAGGGGCGTCTGGGAGATGAGAACGCTAACTGTGTGGTCTCTCAGACACAGAAGTGCAGATACTAAATAGGGAAATGGGTATGTGAGTTCAGGAGGAAACCACGTTGAGGGCTGGACATATATAGCAACCTATTTTTATTTTTTTTAATGTTTTATTTATTTCTAGGAGAGAGAGAGAGAGACAGCGTGAGCAGGGGAGGGTCAGAGAGAGAGGGAGTCACAGACTGAAACAGGCTCCAGGCTCTGAGCTGGCAGTCAGCACAGAGCCCGAAGCGGGGCTTGAACCCACGAACCGCGAGATCATGACCTAAGCGAAAGTCGGACGCTTAATCGACTAAGCCACCCAGGCGCCCCTATAGTAACGTATTTTTAAAGATCAACAAAAGGTATCTTTTAAAATTCTTCTTTTTAGGGGTGCCTGGGTGGCTCAGTTAGTTAAACATCTGACTTCGGCTCAGGTCATGATTTTGAGGTTTGTGAGTTCCAGTCCCATGCTGGGCTCTGTGCTGACAGCTCAGAGCCTGGAGCCTGCTTCGGATTCTGAGTCTCCCTCTCTGTCTGCCCCTCTCCTGCTTACACTTTGTCTCTCAAAAATGAAGAAATGTTAGAAAATTTTAAAAGAAGCAAATTCCTCTTTTTAAATTCCTTAAAATTTCCCATTTCCTCATTATAACAGATCATGTAGTAGAAAATTATAAAACACTATTTTAAAGTATATCAGACACTGTGAATCACGAAGGCTGAAATATAAATGAAGCTTACTATAAGCTAGTTATGAAAACAGAAAAAATTGTAACCACAAAAACCACAGAATCTACTTTTATAACAAAACCTAGATGGCAGATCAAACAGTCCCTCCCTGTGTATTTTAAGCGTCGTATCAAGGTACTGGCAGAGTCACCCCAACCTCCTCTTACTGTATCTTCACTCTACGTAAAACGGAACACAGCAGCTTGATATGTCTGCTCCTAGAAGGCGCACTCTCTGTGAGAAGTAGCCCCTCTAAGAAAGAAAACATCATTCCATCTGTCATCCGGGAAAACCACCGCCCCTGCTCTCACATCACCGGGTGGTGGTGGAATGGAACGGTGGACCCGTACCCACAGCTACATGTAATTTTTGACCACCTGTCCCCTGCTAGTCTGTTCCCTTTGCGCAGACGGTCGACCAACGTCTCCCTTTTCTCATTCCTATTCCTTGTAGACTGACTTGCTTGCTTAAAATTAGTCCCTCTGGTATTTCAACCTATTTTTGCTTTCAAATAATTTGTTTACCTTGAGTGCTAGAAGATTCTCTACCGTACAGTTCTTATCAGGAGACACCAACTTTCCGATAATCTCCTGGACAGCCTCCCAATGCCGTGGCTTGAGACAGGGGTTGCCCAGAGCTATGATGGTGGGCAGCACTTGTTTAAATTCTGTCACTGATTGCTTAAGATGGGTCACCAGGTCGTTCTTAGGTAAACCTACAAATAACAATGGATCTTATTTTTTAAACCAGAAAGCAAGTCTACTATTTAATGTAATTCTAGTTTCGCAGTTATCGTTCTGTATTAAAATAATGAATTTTATTAACATCACCCTGCAGAGGGGATTGGCTATGGATTAAAACAAAGAGCAGCAGTCATCAGAGCTGATGATCAAACCCGAGACCAGCAAAGCCAAGTTTTCTTGGCGGATCTGACACAGGGCTAGCCTGCTACCACGGCGGTTCCCAGATTTTTAGTGACTAGGTATGCAGACTAATACATGCACACACATTTCAAGACTGTTACAGGCTTTTACATTCTGCTCACGAAGGAGGACCATCGGTTGGGGGGGGGGGGCTGCCACTATCATTTCATAAAAAATGTACCTAACGCTGCAGTGTAGGGATGTAGGTAAAGATTCTGCCACAGATCAGGACCAGTCTATCCTCGGGCACTGGCAAACTGCAGCTGAAGGTTCAAACCTCAACCTTTTCACTCAACTTGTAAAAGAAAAAGGACACAGAGACATAGCCAAAGACGGGGACTCAGAAAAATCGAGAATGACACCTATATGCTGGAATATCCAATCTGTCCAGATGGGGCTCCTTTTATAAAGCCACACTGGATAATAAAATGTTGCTCGAGACCTAGTGAAACGGAAGGAAAAGAGAGTAACTTTGGTTTCTTTAAGTCTATATCTTGGAAATGAGCAAGATCTTTCTGGGAAACTGTGTAAGAGAAGCACCATCTAGGTGCTACGTTACAGGCCTTCTGCTGGGGCAGGGGCAGCACAAAGCTGGGGAAGGATTCACAGAGTGAGTGTCACGTCACAGCAGCGACACGGTGGGAGATGTCCCCAGCTTTTTTCTTTTCTAAATGTTTCATGATGTTGTTCTATTTCTTGTAGACTTCGAAAACAGGCAAAGTACAGTGTTTTCCAGAGAGGAGGTTAGAGTTTGCAGTGCAGCTGAGGGTCAGGGAGGAGATTCAGAAGCGAAAGCGCTCTTGCCAGGGGCTGAGACCCTCGCCTTGCCGAGAGGACGGGCCTCACAGAATCGCTCCGACAGGAACATCTCTGTGTTGGCGCGATTTCAGATGTGAGGGTTCGCAGAAGGGACAGCTCTCAATGTGACTTCAGCTATTTCTCCCGCTGGCTGAGGGAGGCTGTGGGCGAGAACAGTGAGCACCTGGGTTAATGCCCCACATGCAGGTGGGCCTGTGTCATCAAGGCCACGGTCGTGGCCAAGTGCCTGTGGTCCGACCTAGGGAAAGAGCTTTTATTTATTTTTTTATTTATTTATTTTTTTTAATGTTTTATTTATTTCCAGGAGCGAGAGACAGCGTGAGCAGGGGAGGGTCAGAGAGAGAGGGAGTCACAGACTGAAACAGGCTCCAGGCTCTGAGCTGTCAGTCAGCACAGAGCCCGACGCGGGGCCCGAACCCACGAACCGCGAGATCATGACCTAAGCGAAAGTCGGACGCTTAACCGACTAAGCCACCCAGGCGCCCCAGGAAAGAGCTTTTAAAGAATACACAAAATTGTTATTACTTAAAAAATATATATAGGGGTGCCTGGGTGGCTCAGTTGGTTAAGCGTCCGACTTTGGCTCAGGTCACCATCTCACAGTTCGTGGGTTCGAGCCCCACATTGGGCTCTGTGCTGACCACTAGTTCAGAGCCTGGAGCCTGCTTGGGATTCTGTGTCTCCCCCTCTCTCTGACCCTCCCCTGCTCATGCTGTCTCTCTTTCTCTCTCAGAAATAAATAAAACATTTGAAAAATATATATTTACCACCAATTTTTAATCTCTTTCTTGCTTCAGGAAACGATTCCTGCCCCTATGCTCCTGTGAGGCTTCTCCAGCCACTAACGGCCAGGACTTGGGAACAGGCAAAGAGGTTAAGGTCAAGGACAACAATCCTCCTGACTCAGAGGCCGCTCACTGTGAGCAATTCTAGGTGGGAAAGCTTGAAAAAGATGCTTTTACCTTTCTCTAGTGTGGAGATTACATGCATCCATTTTGAAACGTGTCTCTGAACGGATTCTATATCGACCCCATGGAGAGGTCTGTTCCTCCACTCTGCGAAGCGCGTTCTCCACTCCTTCTGCGTGTCCCACAGCGTCTTCCGCAAGGCCAGGTCGCACTCGATGTCTGCAATCTCTGCACGCACGATCTGTGTGATATCGTCCATGTTGAGGGAGTGCATGTGGGCCTCGGAGTCGCTGAAACAGTGCTGGAAGCTGGCGTAGGTGCTCGCTTTGTGTGCCAGACCCGCCGCCTCCTCTGCTAGCGTCCGCATCATCTCCACAGCGGTGGCCATGCGCGTCCCAGCACATAGCAGAATGGGGGTTCTGATCTGAAACATGGCAGGGAGACATTCTAAGAGACTGTACATCTGGGACACTGACGTGTTCTACTGACAGCAGGTTAGCACGTGACCTAAGCTTTAATAAATGATCATCTGTAAGGGCTGTCCTTAATTTATAATTGTGTGTGTTCATTAGGAGGGCTCTTAATTATTTAATCATTATTACTATATAGCGATAATTTGTCATGTTCCTTCCCTCTCTGGGGCACTGTGCTAGTTTTAGTAACACATTACCTAACTTACTAAATCCATATAACAATCCCGAGATGTAGTTAATATTTTTCACAATTTTTCAGGAAAGTTCTAAAGTTATCAATAATTGTCACATCATCCAATGGTAAGTGGCAGTTTCAGGGTACGGCTGACTCCAGAGGTCATTTCCTTTCTCTGATTCTGTTTAACTTTGTACTATATTTTTGTTTTTAAGATTTTATTTTTTTAGGGACTCCTGGGTGGCTCAGTTGGTTAAGCGTCCAACTTCAGCTCAGGTCATGATCTTGCCATTTCTGAGTTCAAGCCCCACATTGGGCTCTGTGCTGACGGCTCAGAGCCTGGAGCCTGCTTCAGATTCTGTGTCTCCCTCTCTCTCTGCCCCTCCCCTGCTTATGCTATTTCAAAAATAAACAAACATAAAAAATTTAAATTAAAAGTCTGTTTCCATGGAGTTGAAAGTCAATAAAGCTTGACCACTGGAGTTTCTCCTTTGCTGAGAGGTGCTTAAAAAAATAAAGACTTCCCCGCTCAGCGCTCAGTCGTGCGGACCCCCTGCAATACAGACCCTGGGCTCCATTGGTGTCCAGTCTCGTACACTTTAACAAGCGTGAATTGTGTAAACCAGACACTTATGTAAGGGCCTGTAACTTTCTAGTACTATTTAATTTATTAAAAATTAAGTGTGCAGCGGGAGGGGTGGAGATGGAGAGAATCCCAAACAGGCTTCATGCTCTCAGCACAAAGCCTGATGTGGGGCTCGATCCCACAAACTTGAGATCATGACTTGAGCCAAAATCCAGGCAGTGGCCTCACGGACTGAGCCCCAGGTGCCCTTGGTCATACCTGAAAGACTGCAGGTGGGATGTGTGCATCAAGTGGTTTCAAGATGAATGTGTTTCACCTTCCTTGTGTTTGTGTGAAACAGTACAGACTACTGGTCAGTGGAGGAACTGCCTATAACTGCAATGAGTAACACTGCAGCAGAGGCAGAGTCGGTACGGGACTAAGCCCCTGGGGTGGGGGGGCACTGGGGGCAGAGGGGCGCACACGAGCACGGTCCCTGAAGCCCCGGCTCTGACGTGCCGCACAATCTTCAGCAGGTTACTGGACCACCTTAGGTCTCACTGTTGTTGGCGGGCCAGTACAGGGGTGAAGCACCCGGCCCACACCATCACTGACTCTCGGTGAGTGGGTTTATTGTGTGCTTGGCTCTCCTTAAGTGCCTCAAGTTGTAGCACTCACTACCGCTGGCCTGGAAGGAGGCCCAGGCAGATGTCACAGGTGTAGCCCTCTGGGCCGGGGGCCTCCCGTGGCAGAACGCTGACTCCTACGGGCAGAGTCACCGCTTTGCGTTGTCATCTGTGTGCGTCCATAACTGAGGAAAATGCTAATGTCAGTCACGCATTTGTGAAAACAGACATGCAATGTTTCTTTCCACTGAGGTTCACAAACCTTCTGTCTGAGGAGTCTAGGCTAAGAATACTTGGGTTAAAGTATTCACCTAAGATTCCGCAGACAGCGAGTGCCGACACGCTTAGGCCTCCAGGACGCTAAGAGCCAGCTGACTTTTGATGAGAAACACGCACTGACCTTGGCCTTCAAGTTACTGACATCGACTCGCAGTCCAGTGATGTGCGCTTCCAGACTGTCTCTGAATTTAGCAATGGCGGCGTCTTTATTCATCTCCCGTAGCTTCATGGCGGTCTTCAGCTGACCAAACTTCATGAGAATAATTTTGTAGATGGTAATCTGCTCTCCTGAAATCTGGACCTGGTAGGACCTTATGACAGAGTGCAGCTGCGAGATCTTGGAGTACTCTTTCTCCAACACAGACAACTTCGAGCAGATCCCCTCCAGAAAGGTAAAATGCTCCACAAACTCTTCAATTTCAGTGGGATCACACTCCATCTTCCTCAGGGACGTCTCCACCACCTGGACCGTTAACACATCGATCTGAATTCCAGGAGGGCTGCTCGCTACCTTAGAAGGCTGATTACTCTTTCAGAACCTGTCATGATGTTATGGAATTCTACTTTCACGAGAAAATGAAGACGTCACCCAGATGCCACTCTAGACAGTGTTTAAATACCAGAGCAGATTTGCTCAACTCCTTTCTATGTTAATAGAGGGACCACGAATGTACCTGCACATAAAATAAGTGCTAAGATAGAAAGGAAGTTATATTATGAATAATTTTGTTCTCAGGAAATAAACACAATAGCAATGGCAAGGCCATGGCTACCATATGGATAATCGATCATGGCTACTGTGGTTTTTAAAAAAATTTTAGTGTTTATTTTTGAGAGAAAAAGAGACAGAGCACAAGTGGGAGAGGGGCAGAGAGAGAGGGAGACACAGATTCTAAAGCAGGCTCCAGGCTCTGAGCTAGCTGTCAGAACAGAGCCCAACACAGGGCTCAAACCCAGAGTCTATGAGATCATGACCTGAGCTCAAGTTGGAAGCTTAACTGACTGAGCCCCCCAGGCGGCCCTGCTACCGTATTTTGAGCATGTACGTAGTCCCACCTGGTCCTGATAGCGTGTTTGTTCATTAGGTGTTATCTTCTCCCGTTCATGCAGGAGGAAATGAGTCTCAGAGGATTCGTTAGTCTACCGTCAAAAATGTAGTGAGTTACAGAGCTACGAGTCCCCAAGCATGATTCCAAATGCCATTTTTATCCACTAGAAGTATTCAGTATAATTATATGCAGAAGGTCAACACTTTTCCTGAGTGTGTGTACATCATTCCTTGAAATTTTCAAAATAATGGCATTTCTATATGCAAATTACAATTTTGTCATATTTTTTCTCATGTTTCCAGGGCTCTTGATGAATACTCATGCATAATTTTGGAATCAATGTCATTTCAATTGTCTGTTTCACAGCCTTGAATTAATTGCCTGTATGTCTCTAATTTTTCAAGCACTATATTGTCTTCGATTATAAAATAGATGGTCATACAAAACAATCAATACAAAAAAGCTTTTAAAATAGAAAATCCCTCTGATGCCATCACTCAGAGATAAGCACTGCTAACCCACCAACTCTGAAAAGGCTTTACAGAGAGGCTTGTGTTTGAATCCCAGCTCCAGTTATTTCCTAACCGTGTGACCCTAAGCAAGTACCTTTGCCTTAAAAAACTTGGTGTCCTCATCTCCAGTTTTGAGGAGAAAAAATGTAACAGTATAGTAACAGGCTTATGCCTTCTGCATTTGACTGAAATGGATCCAAACAAAAGACCAACTAAACACAGCTATCTTGACTCTAACCAAAAGTTGCATTTAAATGCCAGAATTAAGAAACATTTTAAAGTGCAGATTTGTATCACAGAGAAACAGGTAATTTAATTCCAGTTTTGTGCAAGAGAGGGCAGGAAAAGGTGAGATATGCCCAAACTTACTTTATGTCATTTTACGACACTGATATCAAAGACAGATAGGGACGGTAAAAGAAAGTCACAGACCAATTTCACGAACGGGAATAAATGCAAGTCTTAAAAATAATGTCCCTGGGGCACCTGGGTGACTCAGTCAGTTGAGGGTCCGACTTCAGCCCAGGTCATGACCCCGCACTTGGTGGTTGTTAGCCTCATGTCCGGCTCTGTGCTGACAGCTCAGAGTCCGGAGCCTGCTTCGGATTGTGTCTCCCTCTCTCTCTGCCCCTCCCCTGCTTGCACTCTGTCTCTCTCTCTCTCCTTCAAAGATAAATAAAGATTACAAAAAATGGAAAAAATGCTCCTGTACGTACACGTACATGCTGGCACACTAAGCCTCACGCTTAGGAGGCAAGAGCGACCTAAGAAAGTCAATTAATGTAACAACCACATTAAAAGGTGAAAGAAAAAGTCTGCATGATTATTCCAATAGATGCAGAATGAACATTTCTTAAAATTCATTTCTGATAAAAAAATATTCTATCAAATTAGCAGCTCTCACCAGAACAAGGGCATTTCCTTGACCACATCAAGGGAAGATTCCCAACGCCTCAGGAATAAATAAACAGCAAACACACCCCAGGGAGCACATGGGAGCCGTGAGAGGATGAACAGAGAGGCCTTTCAGAACAGCTTCCTAAAACAACTAAAACTCAGGACGTTTTCTGGAACAAAAAAACCCTGATTCTTCCAACCGCAGAGACCTGCTTTATAATCAGTACCTGATGTGACTCTTACAACCTCTCTAGGTGAGTTGCTAATATTATCCCCAACTTACAGATGAGGAAACTGAGGTACAGTGAGAATAAGAACATTAATTAACTAAGGTCTTCCAAATAGTAAATGGAAAGGCCAAGATTTAAAAAAAAAAAAACACTCAAGTGAAACACATTTTACATGTCAAAGACGCTAACTGAGCCTTAGGATGAGTTTCAGCCAGTTACGCACCCCTGCAGTCACCTCCATAGTCAAACCATGGAAAACTCTCGTTGCCCTGGGACCCCTTGGGCCCCCATCCCAACCTCCTCCCGCCCCGGCCTCTGAAAGCCACCTCTGCTTGCTGTGGCTGCGGGCAAACTATCTGTCATGTTACACATACGCGGAACCAACTGGCAGGTACTCCTCTGTGTCTGGCTTTCGGTCAACACAGTTTTGAAACTCATCCAAAGCGCGCGCAGCAGAAGTTAGTTCCTTGCTATTGTCGGTCTTTTAAATGCTAGTCCCCGGGGGCTGTGATGCTGAGAACACTGAGAGCCTAGGGACCCGCTCCTTTCGGGAAGATGCGTTGGGCGGTGGCACAACGCTGGTCACGCTGGTGCGGCTGTTTCTTGGGCCTGAGTTAACGTGCTACGCAAAGCGGCGGCATTAGGTAAAGAGGAGGAAGAATCTGTATCACGTGCTGTCCCTTTTTTATTACTTTCCTTGAAATCCTAGGTGCTGAACCCTTGCTACGCTAAGCCAGGCAGAGCTGGAGGGGCTGCAGCTCTGGTAAGAAGATTCTTCTCTGACTTCTGCAGAGAGCGGGCTTGCCCATTCTTCAGGTCAAAGGCTGTATGAGGTGACAGCTAGCTGTCTCTGAGCTCTCTGTTAAAGAGGTGGCTTCACGGCGGTGGCCCTAGCAGGATGGCGATGAGAGCCCTTCTTCCATAACCGAGCCCCACCACCGAAGAAGATGGGACAAGGTGACTGGCAGCAAGTGTGCTGGCGGACTATTAAGTATGTGACCCCCCCCCAAGTCCATGTTCCAAACAGGGTCACACACATAACCATCCTTTCAGGGGTGGTGGGGAGGTGTAAAGCAGACAGCAGCTATATCTAAAGAGTTCTCAGGCTTAAAAATCACACCTAGATTTATGGGGAATTAGCCAGAAGCAAATAGGAAAAAAATTTTCAAAGAAGAAAAGTCCAAGCCGTGTCGTCAGTGACAATCCCTCAGGCACACCCAGGTGTCCTAACTCATGCCCTTGCCATACTTGCTCAGTGTCCGGCAAGCACAACCTTCAAGGCCCAGCTTGGATGGGATGAGGTCATGCAGAATGGTAAACCCAGAGAGCCATCCTGCAGCATAACTGGGGGCCGCGGGGACCAGACAAGGTCGTCTCCCCCGAGCTCGGAGCAAGAGGCTGCCACACTGACCAACCACAGAAGCTCTTCTACAGACAAAGCAGCGAATTCTTGTCACTTCTGTCCAGCAAGATTTGACATTAGCTCAGACCACGTAAGCTAGCTATTTCTTCATTTTCTATTTTTATAGAGGGAAAATTTTAATTATTGTCACCCTGTACCTTCACCATCTTACACGGTGGGGGCGGGGGCTGCACCCTGGTCTTCATTTATGGATCGGCAGAATAGTAAGCGCCATGTTGCACTTGATAGGGAGGGTCGTCTGTGGCGGGGGGCCGACCCTCACCCCTACTTCCCGCGTCCCGTGAGGAGGGAGCCCTGCTCGCCTAGCCCTCTGGCGTCCCACCACCAAGCACCCACGTCCTGGTAGAGCAGAGGCAAGTCCTGTGACTGGGGTGTGTGGGAGCAGGGAGCGACAGGCTCAGCCCACACACTTCCCCTCAAGCCAACCTGCTCCACGAAGCCTGTGTGCTCGTCTCTGCTCACGGCTGGGCCAGGCCGGGGTGCTGGTACTGAGTGCGCTAAGTCTCTCCCTAATTCTGAGCTTCAGTTTGGGGACAGTTAAACAACTCTAAGCCATTTTCTCCAAGCCTCTCCTTCTTAGTAATGGAGGAAACATCTCAATCTCTTTTTGCCTTGTCCTATTTCTTCCTTGGTAAGAGTGGGAATATTTACTGTGCCTCCTAAAAGTCGACATACGGGAGGAAAGGCGTGAACCGCCAGGCGTCGACTGTGCAGACGCTGTGAGCTGGTGGACTCGACATCCAAGCCGTTCCCCATCTGGCCTGCCCCCTTCCGCTGCCGAGAAGAGGAGCCTGGGTGAGCCGACGACCGGCCTTTCTGCACCCTCAGGGGCCCGGGGACCAGCTGTGGCACCGAGGAGTGAGGTCGCACACACTACACTGCTGCTTCCACCTCCCTTATCTCTGCCTAGAGTGTGAGCCACGTGCAAGTGCAGCCCTCAGCACGGGAGCCGAGCAGGAGGGTGAGGACGCTGGGTCCCGGCTGCGTGCAGCCATCGGACCAGCCTGGGCTCACGCTTCTTTTCGCACGAGACAGAGAAATCCGTTGCTAAATAAGCCTGTTTTTGGCTTTCAGATCCTTGTCGGGGAATTCCTAAGTCAGGGCCCTAAGTGAAGTAGAGAGGAACTCTGTGGGTCTCAGGGTGGCCGTGGTCATGCAGAGGCCACGGAGCCTGCCATATGCAGCACTCAGCCCCTCTCGCCTAAGGGACACCTGCAATCCCCACAAACTCTTGGTGGTTTTAACAACTGCTAAATACTCCCTCCTGCAGACACGCCCTCGCTTCCCCATCCCTCTGCTTATCCTGCAGGCTCCTCTGCCTCTAACAACCTCCTAGACACCAGGGTTCTGGAGGCTTCTGTCGGGGCTCTCTTCCATCCTCACCATGCATGTAACCGGCGCACTCCCATTCACCCTGACGACGTCTAGGACCCCCTGGATGCCGGTCATTTAAACACACACTCCCGACACACAACGTGCACGTCTCTCCCTGAGGACGACACCGTGAAGCAAGCACTGGGCTCCGCTATCCCCGGTGCCCCACTGTCCACCCTGCTGCCTAACCACCAGGCTGAAAGTATCATTAATTCCTGTCATTCACTTATTCCTACGTTCTGCCACTCACCAAAGGCTGTCGGTTCTCCCTCTTAAATAGATGTCAACCCCCTTTGCTCCCGACTCCACACTGCGACCGCCCTCGTCCCAGCGCTCGTCACCTCTCCCCTAGGTTCCAGGAGCCACTCTCCTCCTGTCTCGTCCTACCTGAATCACTCTTCACGCTGCAGCCAGAGCGGGCCCTGCAAACACGAAGTGGTATCGTGTCGTTTTCACATTTATAATCGTGCCATGATTCCCGGCAGGAAAAGGGGGAAAGGAATGCAGCATGCAAGTTTACAGACGGGGGAGGAGGTTTCTCTGAGGAAACGACATCTGATCAAAGACCCAAACAAATGCAACAAGTACATATCTGAGAATAACACTTATCGTGTATGCTTCTAAAGTATGTATTTTAAAATTATAACCTAATAATCATAAAGATTCTCATGCAACAGGCATTTTCAAAATACTTACTTCTAATAGATTTGTGCTCTTGTTTTCAGTTACAGATTGCAGGAGGTTGTGGCTCAGATGTATGATATTCTCAATGTAAGGTAGGCATTCTGACTGGTAATCGAGACTCGTAACACTGAAAATACCGATGCGTTTCTCAATGACCATATTAACAATGTGTTTCAGATAGTTTCTGAATTTGGCTAGTATAGCTTTAAACTGTGCTGCAGTTAATTCCTCCAGAGAAGACATCTTCACGTCCATGACTCTGGCCCTCTGTACCATGGAGCAGTACTTTATAAATTGGCAGCTGTAAGCACTAACCAGGCCCATGGAGTTACCAATAATGGTCAGAAGACTAGCAATCTGTAAATAACAATGTCAGAAAGTCAGAATGTTAAGAGTAAAAAACGTGTGCTCTAATGGGCTAATAGTTCTGTTAAAATATTTAAAATCATAGCTTTATGTGGATTTCATTTTGTCAGGAACTAAAGAGAACTATGTTGGAAATGTAAGACTTAGGGAAATTAAGATGGCCTTTTAAATATTTGGTGTTTATGAAAAGGCTTACCAGGCCATTTATCTTTATAATCAGCATGCTATTTTGAGCCATGGACTAGAAACACCAATCATTTATTCCCTCACTTGACATCCCGCTTTAGTACAGATGCTCTGTGCGCAGCCCTGCACAGGGCACTTCTATGGACTGTGTGACCTTACCTGAGACACAGCTATCGGACGAGGAATTACTTGACCCAAGCGAAGACAATTAGAGTCCCCTGTAAGTCGACACAAAAATACCCAGCTAGATGGTAAGGGGAGAGTAGGGGCCAACACAGGTCAATAGACTGCAAGTCAGTATCATGCAGGAACCATAAAAGAGAAAGCTCATTTTCAGAGGGGAAATTGGAAAAAACAAACAAGAAGAAATGAGCTGAAAGCACATGAGCAGGACAGATGGAGGGAGAAGGTGGAAGTGACACTTCAACTGTCCTAAGTTAGGGTCCTCAAGTTTTCAAGAAATCCCTTTAGTCTGAGGACCGGCTGAGTCTCCCTAAGACAAGTCGTTTGTAGACTCACTTGGTCTTGGTAAGTAGGATCCATTTCAAAAAGGATCTGACAATCTGGCCACCTGCTTGTTTTCTTAGAGGCAATTCCACTTCCGGTCTTATTAGGTAAATTCACAATTAAGACCGACTCAGTAAAGACAGACAGGCGAGGATCTTGGCAAAGAGGAATAATCTTGGCTAAAATACATAATTCAAAAGTTAACATTTTCAGATGTCCCACTGAGAGCAACACCTTAAATTATCCATGACATCCACAACCACTGTAAACTGAGGCTAATGTATTCTGAGGGCTGGAGAGTATTCTATACCAATAAATGGAAGTTCAGGGGCACCTGGGTGGCTCAGTTGGTTAAGTGTCCGACTTCAGCTCAAGTCATGATCTCACATTTCATGGGTTTAGCCCTGAGTTGGGCTCTGTGCTGACAGCTCAGAGCCTGGAGCCTGCTTCAGATTCTGTGTCTCCCTCTCTCTCTGCCCCTCCCCCGCTCATGCTCTGTTTCTATCTCAATAATAAAATAAACATAAAAAAAATAAATGGAAGTTCAGACAGTGTAAAAGTTTGGATTTAATATTAGGGAAACAGCAGAACCACTCACAAGTACTGGGTAGTGGTGGGACGAGGCATAATTAAATAGAAGCTGAGAAAAATCATGAAGAAATAGTTGTAATGTCCGTGCTACGTGATGCCTTGTAGAGAGGATCAGACCAGCACAGCAAGGTGACGAACGGGGGACAAAGCCTCACCACCAGTATGTGCATAGACTAGCCGAGAAACTGGATGTCCGTGGGCAAAAACCAACCAACCAACCAACACAAATCAAAACATCAACCTACACATCACAAACTATGCAAAGATTAACTCGAGATGAGTCATATGCCTAAATATAAAGCACAACGTTATTAATATTCTAAGAGAAAATACAGGAAACATCTGTAGGACTGAGTTAGAGAGCTTGCAGGTAACAAACCATAATCCAGAATAGAAAAAAACTGGTGAGCCATACTTTATCAGAGTTCAGAGGTTCGCTCTGTGACAAAGAATGAAAAGATGAGTACAGGCTGGGGGAAAATGTTTTCAGATCTTGTATCTCAGAAAAGACGTGTATCCAGGCAGGATGCATATAAAGAGTGCTCACAACTTGACAATAAGGAAACAAACATCCTAATAACAACTAGCAAAAGATCTAAAGATCTGACCACAAAAAATGTACCTAAGCATATGTATATAAGCACATGAGAAGATGAACCATGTTAGTTGTTTGGGAAACAAATCACAACCACAGTGAGGCACCACCACATACCTATCAGAACAGCTACACTGTTTTTTAATCTGACAGTACCAATTGGTGACAAGGATACAGAGTGACTGGAACTCTATACATTACTGGCAGAAGTCAGAATAATAACTCCACTTTACCCTCTCCTACAATGAAACACGCACCTACCAGGGGACCCAGCAAGCCCACCCCCGGTTATCAGATCAAGAAAAAAGAAATCTTACATTCATCCAAAAATCTGTGTACGAATGTTCATAGCAACTTTATTCATAACTGCCCCAAACTGGAAATGAGCCAGACTTGAGTGCAGAGAGAAACCGTGGGACGCCCGGATGGTAGAATACAACTCGGCGATGAAGAGGAGTGAGCCTGCCATCTCATGCGGCAAGACGGATGCATCTGAAATCCATCTTTCCAGGTGAAAAAAGCCAGACCCAAAAGGCTACCTCCCTATCCACTTTTATGACCTCTGGAAAAGGCAGAGCTGTAAAGACAGAAAACAGATCTGAGGCTGCAGGTACAGGAGGGACAAAGGGGCAGGACCGGGGAGCGCGGGCATGACGGAGCGGCGCTCTAAGGACCTCAGAGGGTGGACACGCAACTGTCAAAACCATAACCCGCATACCGCACAGGGTGGTGTGACAAGTCTTAAGAAACCAAGCAGGATGCCGGGAGAACTCCACAAGGAATATGGACGGTGACAAAGTAGCCTGCTGTCTTAGTGGTGACCCAAGCGGGTAACAAAGGGACTCTGGAGAGCAGCGTTGTAACTGAAAACTCCAGGACAGATGGGAAAGGAACGGCCCACGAACCCTGTGCTCTGGTTGATCCATCTGCGTCTCATACAGGTATGGAGGAGGGGTGTGGACATTGCTTTACCTGCATAACAGATCACTAACTACACTGTTACTTTCCACTGACAGGCCTCTGAGCAGCCCCGCTCCTGCAACGAGCCGGTTTCGGGGCTGCCGCTGAGGAAACACGGGAGCCCCCTGTGCCCACAGATGCTACAGGGCTCACAACAAAGACCACAGGGTCCATGTGGAAAGAACTAGGCTTCGAAAACACGGCCACACAATCTGGGCAACAAGTTAAGTAAAGGTAATATTGTCTTTGTGCTCCCAGGCTAACACAGGTATCAGTGAGCCTCAGAAATCCCTGGGGGAAAAGTTATGTAATTAAAACAGTATAGTGCCGGCACAAGAGTTACAGATACATCAAGCCTACATAGTCCAAGAATAAAATAAATAAAAGAAAAGAAAAGAAAAGAAAAGAAAAGAAAGGAAAGGAAAGGAAAGGAAAATAACATAAAATAAAATAGAATAAAATAAAATATCAAAGTGCCATTTCAAGTCAGTGAGGGTGACGAATGGATTATTCAATGACGGATACTGGAAGAGACACATCATGAGTCATCTGGGAAAAAACTACAAGTTGGTGTACGCAAATGAAGCTTAAAGCAATTGAAAGCTTAAACATAAAAATGAAATCTTAAGAGAATTAGAAGGCAAGGAGGAGAGTGCTTTTGGTAATATGTGATCAGTGGGCAAAGCCTCTCTCTGATACCACGCCCTGAAGCCTTCTTTAAAAGGCTCTACAAATGTTATACTTTAAAAACAATGTTCTGCATGGGAAAAAATATCACCATAAAGTCAGCCAGATGACGCAGTTTTCTTAAGACTCATATTAGAGATGAAGAGTTCATTTTCCTAACCCAGAATGACAAATCAGTACGAGAAAGACTTCTGCCCACCAGCATCGCTCCCATGTACTTACTCTGAGAAGGACCCACGGAAGCCACAGGCCATGTGCCAGATGCTACCTGCATGACTGTGTGCAGGAATGAACACGTGTAATTGTGCATGTGTGGTTACATGTACTACAGCATGTTAGTGCGAGGGAGTATTACTGGCTGTCTAAGTGACAATTATGAGAGCGTATGCAACAATGAGGAAAATGCCTCCCACAGGATGCCAGGTGATCATAAAATGTTTCATTACAGTTTTTTTTAATGTTTATTTATTTTTGAGAAAGATAGATTGTGTGAGCCAGGGAGGGGTGGGGGGTGAGGGGAAGGAGAGAAGCAGGCTCTGAGCCATCAAGGCAATCCACTAGATCATGACCTGAGCTGAGATCAAGAGTCACATGCTTAACTGACTAAGCCCCTCAGGCGCCCTGATTATAAACTGTTTTAAATATGAGTTTCACTCCTGTATGCTTATGAAGGTAAAAATGCAAAATGAAAACACATACTTGTTATATGCATGTAGTTGAAAAGATGGGGTGGTTTAAATGTTTTTTTTTCTCAAGTTTGTGTGCACACAAATGCACACACGTATACATACATATATAAACATCTATGTAGGTCAGTGAGTCCACATTTACGTAAATTTACGTAAATAAATAACTGAATAAATAAAGAAATGGATCCGCTAAGGTGGTGAGATCCACTTTAATAAAGGCTAAAATTAGGGGGCAAAATTTTCAGAACAAAGAAAGACACTTGACAATCTCAAAATATCCCTCCCCAGACTGATTAATAACAAAGGGAAATATAAACTTTCCAAGAGTTGCCATGGGTCCTGCGTTTTAAGATCTTTTACGATGCAGACTGAGGAGAAGGGACACATTCACTGGTCAGGCTACTAATGCCTGTGCAGGTGCAGACTGGACACACAGGACTAAGAAGGGCTGATCAAAATCGGTTTCAGATGGAAACAGTATCTTTGCTATGCTAATAAGATATGGCTTAATCAAGTCTCATAAAATTCTGTAGTATATACTGAAAAAATCCAAACCTTACGCTATTTTTCTAATTCCCGTCTTTTATGCACCTTATCTAAGGTTATGTGTAGAGGTCACACATCCTCAAATAATCCCAAATTCACACTACTTGGTCCCAAAGATGCACATTTCTGATCCCCTGATAGACGGAAATGTGTGCCACCCTGCGGGGTGTGAATACCAGATACCTACACCTGGGAGAATATTCCCAAAGACTGTATCTAGCCACACTTTTAAAATACTTACTTATACGTTTTTCAATGTCAGACACCATTTTTTGAATTTTTATTGAAAAGTCTAATCTGTTGGGAGCTATGAAGAGGTATGTAGCAAATTCTGAAAATCTGAGAAAATAAAAGCATATTTCAGAAAAATGCAGTAACCACCACAGATGACAATTACTTGTAATATCAAAAAAGTCTACTACTTACTCATACATGTATTTATTCTCGAACTTGGTCCCGATTTCTACATCTACAAGAGTCCATTGAGAAAGAGAGGGAATGAAACACTGATTCGTGTGTAAACCAGCTAAGTGACCACTTGCCACGTGGCAGTGCTTCCCAGACACCCAAGAATACACGGGAGGGTCACCTGAGGGGTAGCATTCCAGCAGGTCACCCGCCGCAGCCCCAGACTGTGAGGAACAAGGGCCGAGCTGCGGTCCGAGGGTCTGGGTTTTCAACAAGCACGCAGGGGTGCTCACCGCCAGGAAGGGGGTCATCAGGCCCCAGGACTGAGAATGGTGTGCACGAGAGGCCAAAATGAGTAATGGTGTTATCGCTTACACACACCACCGACGGTCTAAGCTTATGCTCACTTAATGCTCTCTTAACATTTATATCACTAAGAGATAATATTATTGCTTAATATTTATTATCACTAGTCACCAATAATAAACTACTAAAATGTTCTCACATTTGTTCTGTTCCGGCTATTAGGATATCTCCCTTCATCCTTAATAGCCTCATTCATCTTACCTGAAAGAATTTCTTCAAGGCTGTAACAAACGTTTTCTGGTTTCTTCATTACTGGCATTTCTTCATTCGACTGTTTTATGACAAAACTGACTTCGTTTTTGGACGCCTCTTCTTCACACACCCCAGATTCTTCAGAGCCTTTGTTGGACTTATGCGAGTTCTCTGTGGAAGTTTCTGAAGAGTCACTTTCTCCAGGAGCACTCAAGTGTAGAGTCACTTCAAATATCGGGGCATATATTTTTCTCAACTCCTTCTCCGCTTTGATACGACTCAAAATCTAATTAAAAGATGTTAGAGTGACAGTAACAATAGATAACACGAAGAATATTCCTTTCAACTTAGGATAATATAGACCTAAACATTAAATGATAAATAATAACTTTGGTGCAAGTGAATAATGCCAGGTCACCAAGTCACTGATATTTGCAAGTTAAAATAAGGTAATATAAAATACATGGCACAATATAATGGAGTAGATCCCCCGAAAGACTGTGGTATAAATTAATGCCAGAGTGGCTACATATTACTCATTTGGGAGCTTGTTAAAAATACAAATTCTTGGGCCCTATTTCCAGAGATTATGAGTTAAAATGTTTGTAGCAGGGCCGAAGAATCTTTTGGTAATTGAAGTATAATTAACATACAATGGTATGTTAGTTTCAGGTGTCCAAAACATTGATTAAACAACTTTATACAAGAATTTGAACCATTTAAAAGCTGCACGGGTGAGTCTACTGGGTCCTCAGGCTTGGGAATTACAAATCAGAAATCGACTTCAGAACCACTGGTGCAGGTCTGATTTCTTTATCGGAGTACACACACCCTAGTACAGGCACCCATCACTACGGAGAATATACACACCTCAGTGTATATAGTAGTCCCTATGGAGTAGTATCTTAGTACAAGCACCCATTCCTACTAGAGTATACATACCCTATTACAAGCAACTGTCTCTGTTGGAATATCCACACCTTAGCACAGGCACCCACCCCTACTAAGAATATACACAGTCTAGTACAAGCACTGTCCTTACGGAGACTATACACACACTAGTACAGGCACCTATCTGTACTGAAGTATACACATCCTAGTACAGGCACCAGTCCCTATGAAGAATATACACACCCTACTACAGGCACCCACCCCTACTCAGAATATACACACTCTAGTACAAGCACCGTCCTTACAGAGAATATACACACCCTAGTACAGGCACCTGTCCCTATGGAGAATATACACACCCAAGTACAGGCACCCATCCTTATGGAGAATATACACACACTAGTACAGGCACCTGTCCCTATGGAGAATATACACACCCAAGTACAGGCACCCATCTTTATGGAGAATATACACACACTAGTACAGGCACCTGTCCCTATGCAGAATATACACACCCTAGTACAGGCACCCATCCTTATGGAGAATATACACACACTAGCACAGGCATCCATCCCTGTGGAGAATATACACACCCTAGTACAGGCATCAGTCCCTACTGAAGTATACACATCCTAGTACAGGCACCCATCCTTAATGAGAAACAGCCAGACTACTTCACGGATAAATAACTTTCTCAACAATGTATTTGCTCATAGGCAGGTATTCTCAACTAAGGTATCCACCCCTCTTCCCTACAGGTGACCCACTGTTCTTGAGGCATCCAGGATTTCTCAGTCACCTGTCAGAACCTCAACCACCAGACAACAAATAAAAGCAGCTGACGCTATAAACAAACATTAGCACCCTATTCAGCTGCTGGGCCAGAGCCTAAGCTGATGCTGAAGGTGATACACAATCTTTAGAAGTTCTAACAAATAAATACGGGAGTTTCTGTGGGATGATGAAACACTGCTGTCAAATGGATAGGGTGACACTGCACAACACCGTGAGTGTGGTCATGCCACTGAATTTCATCTGTAAAAGTATGGTTAAAATGGTAAATTCCATTTTATGTATGTTTTATCATAATAAAGTTCACAATTTCAAACAAACATATAATGTGTTGTATAGCTTCCTCTGGAAAACAACCTCTAATCCTAGTAACAAAGGGACCTTAAACCCTACACCCTATTATTATAGTATAAATATTTTGTCATAGAATCATTCTTGAAATACATATGGTATCATTACTACTTACTATAGTGTACTTGTATCTATATTAACTATACTTATGTATACCTGATACCACATACTCCTAGAATACCATCTGACACAATTCCTATTGGATGAGTACTTATCATGTCCTAAACACTACAGTTAACAAGTTGCCTTTGCCTCATCTTCACAGTAACCTAGAGAGAAATTATTACTCTTATTGTGCACAAAAAAGCTGTTAATTTGTTAAAGGCTGTATTGGCTGAGGTCATGGGTCTGTGACTCAAGAGCCCATGTTAACATATGAAGCAGAGCTTGAATATCTTTTTGTGATGAAATTCTTGGTTATTATTTTTTGGGTCAACAAGAACGGACCAGAAAATGGCTCAATTTCCTCCAGATTGTACATTACAGGAGGGGAACAGCTGAAACACCAAAACCCAGCTATATTCGACAGTATGCAATGGACCGGGGGCCTCCCCGCCTTGGCCCCAGGTTCTCTCTTGAGTGTGAAATCCAGATTTCCAATATCTTAATAGAAATATTTTCATCTGCTTACCCATGGGTACCCCTGACTCAACACATCCCAAAGTAAAAAAATTATGCATCATTTCTTGAACTGGATCTTAGCACAAACTCAAGAAGTCGACACCACAACTTTAACACAGGCAAAAGTAGGAGTGAACCAATGTCAAATACTAGATGGCAGAGTGGGCTGTGGGGCATAAGTGGAACCAGGGATGGAAAGGAGTTATGCCAGGATCGCAAGGCTGCCTACACCAAATTCAATCATGAGCAAACTGGAAAATCAGAATCAGTGTTGAATTAAAAAAAATATATCAAAATTAAGACTTTCTTATGAAAGATCTATACCTAACGTTAACAGAAAGGGACAAAGTTAAGAGGTAGTATTTACAAAATCTAAAGTCAACAAAGAATCAGTATCTATAATATACAATGAAGTCCAAAAACTCAGTAATAAATCCAATAGAAAAAAAATATTCAAAAAGTATCAATATGCATTTCAAAGAGGGACAAGTAGTTAGTACGAATGGGGAACCTCACTGGTGAAGAAAGAGGTAGAAACAGTGAGATGTCACTTACACATCACACTGGCAAGAATTGAAAAGTCCACAGGATACACAGTAAAAGGCTGCTTATCACAGTCTTACTAGTGTAACAGACACCTGGAAGTAGCAGAGTGGCTATAAAATGGACAGAAAACGTGATGCGTGGGAGCGCCGCACAGTCAGGAACAGTGAGACCTATGTTGGCGTGGGTTTGTGTGTGTGTATATTGTCACAGCCTGGGTTCCCTGGGCAGCCAGCCTGAGACAGGCCGGAGATTACTGAGGAACATGCCTGTGGTCAAGTGCGGGAGGGAGAGAAAGGAAGCAGGTGGGTGGAGGGAAGGTCGAGCTGTGATACAGGCGGATGGATGGGCCCAGCCAGGCCGCGGGGGCTCTGGTGCTTGAATGGCCCCGCAGAGTTGTCCAGAGAGGGACTAAGATGCTGTGCCTTTCTACCCTGTGACAAATGTCCGAGGCATGTGGGCCACCCCAAAAAGGGCACGACCTTGAACGAGGGGGCTGCACTTGAAGCAGTCTCTGAAAAAGCGGACAGCTAAGGGCTATGTGCTGACAACAGCCCCAGCAGCTGGGCAACACGTCCCACAGTGTGGGGATTCCTGGAACAATCCCATGAGATCGGGGCCCACATCCACCAGGACGAGAGCCGGGTCTTGCCAACGTAGTGCTGAGTGAGAAAACGCACAGGGGCAGCACAGCCCCATGACGCCATGGAAACTCGGCGCGTGTGTGTCCCGTCAACCGGTAACACGTTACAAAACAATCCACTGTGAACTATGGAGGGGGGATGGAATACCTTCCCATGAGTCCTCACGAGGGACTCATCCATACAGATGGGGAAAAGGGAGAAAAGTAGAGCCAACAGGCGACCTTGAAAGAACTGATGAAAACAGTGTGCCGTGAACTAGAAGGCTGATCAACGCAACATATCTGATCTCCTCAAAAATACACTATAAGATGCAATATGGCGGAGAAGTAGGGAGCTCTGTGCATTTCACTCGCCCCCATCTCTCAAACAGAGAAGGCCTGAAGCCGGAGGACACTGAACCGCAGGAGTTTGGGAAGAAAAGAACAGAGTCCACTAAGAAGACAGCCTCCTAAGTGTGTTGAGTCCAAACTGGGGAAGATAAAAACGGGCCGGGACCGGAGACAGCAGATGGAGGTAAGGGAACCCCCTTCATGGGGAGCCGTGGAGGGTCGAGGGGAAGAGAAAGAGTGGCTGCTCATAGATCTATCCCTGGAGAAGAGAAAAACCTCGGCTGGGGGTGGAGAAGATCCTGTTTCTAGCTGTGGCGCTGACTCTGGGCTGGGTCCCCTGGTCCCAGGCGGCGCCAGGAGAAACTGTGCTGCTGTGCTCCCAGCTCGATCCCGGCTGGGTTATATTTCGGGCAGTTTCAATGGGGCGCATAGACTAAGACCTGGAAACAAGGCTGTGCTTGGGACATAGAACATGGCCCACCTTGGCTACGCCCGCGGCACAGGGAGATGGGACCCAAAAGAGTGATTTGCAGCGCTTGGTTCGAGAGGGACTGGGGCACCGCCATTTCTCTCCCCACAACCACCAAGACGGGACCTTGGTCTCTCTGCCTGGTCATTGTCCAATTTTTCTCCCCGCCCCTGTCATTTTCTTGTATATCCTCTTCCATCAGCACTGCATACACCCTACTATTTATTTGTAGCTGGATATTCTGGTTTTATGCTTTCAGACTGTCCTTTGTCTTTGGTTTTTGTTTTTGTTTTCTTTTTCCCTTTCGGTTTGTTTGTTGGATTGTCTGTGTGTTTGCGTGCCTTTGCTCCCTGTGTATTCGTCTGTCTGTTTCCTTTCCAGGGCTACCTCAAGAAACAAGCCAAAGTACACATAGTTGAGTCACAAATACCACTATGAGTAGGAAAATAAAATAACCAAAGTCCCAACAAGAGACACCAAGAGACACCATTAAAAGAACACTTCCTAGGAGTGCTTGAGTGGCTCAGTTGGTTAAGCGTCCGACTTCAGCTCAGGTCATGATCTCATGGTTCGTGGGTTCAAGCCCTGCAACGGGCTCTGTGCTGACAGCTCGGAGCCTGCTTTGGATTCTGTGTCTCTCTCTCTT